GTTTAATAGTAAATTTTGTACAACTTCAATCCCGTCTCTTCCAACATTTGCTCTTGGGAGAACAAAGGAGAAATGGAGAAATAACTGTCACTCGGGGGTTTTGTTCTTGTTTTTTTTTTGTTCTGCTCCCTGTCTCGCTTCCCTCCTTTTACAGATAAAATTCATCAACTGAATCTCTCAGTATTATGGCATTTTTTTTTCCTAAAGTACTAAATAGAGGGCCTCTCTTAATTTGTTTAAGCTTATCTGGAAAAAGTGATCTGTTGGACTATATGTGTTCTTAAAGCATCTCCAGCAGTGCTCTACACAACAAACTAGTTTCTGCTTATAATAAGCCAAAGGCAGAGCAGATCACCTCATATAGCTGTAGCTTTGAAAAAATTAGAATTTGCTGATTTTAAAAATTTGAGAACAAGCCAACTGTCTTTTTTGAAATTTCTCATTACTGTTTGTCAATTGTTGTGTTTAAATCACATTCCACTCTTATCTTATCCCTTTCTTGGTATTTTAGTAGTTGCAGCTGCAATGTTGCCAATATCATTTGAATTGATGTCCATGTATACATTGAAACACACTGCCCATCAAATTTTTCTGCTTTTGTTTCAGCTTTCTTGATCTTCATTATATCTATCAGCTCTGTGTTTTCTGTAGTCTGTCATCATGGATGGGTAAATTAACATCTCTACCTTCTCAATAGTTCCATGCAGGTGTGGAGCCATGTTATGGCCAGGGCGGGTAACTACCCCCTGAACTTTAAAAATTAGAAATTTGGCTAGTAAAAATTTTTGATTTTGTCAAATTGTCTTATATTTGCACCCCTTGAAAGGTTTAAAACTCCCTTTACAATCCCTATTGCCCCACACTAATTTTTCTTAAATTTCTTCATTTACTTTTATTTTATTGAAAACTAAAACATCACCACTGGTATATAGTAAATATGAATATCTTTTAATTCAACTTCAATGACAACTAGAAATTATTTGGTTTACATTCTTTACTGACATGCATTTGTCAAAGTGCTTGCACCCCCTAACCTCTAGGTCATGGCTCCGCCACTGGACTTCTATGTATGGCTAACTATTAAAGGATTTGCAGCCCTGTGGGAGAGAACAAGAAAAGTGGTGAAGTGTATCGGCTTTTTGACGTTGGAGGCCAAAGAAATGAGAGAAGAAAGTGGATTCATTTGTTCGAGGGTGTTTCGGCTGTGATATTCTGTGCTGCTATTAGCGAGTGAGCTTGTTGCTGCTTTGAATATTTTCAGTCATTGCATCGTATGCTTGTCATGACAACGATTTCCGACCTTATATATCTGTTAATTAAAATGTGATATCTTTTTCGGTAGTTACTTCCTTTAAATTACTGTACCTAGGATGAAACATCAGGAACTTGACAAATGGTTAATCAGATACCAAATTGGCTGCTCATTTTTTTGCTGCATCTACTTGATGATAACCTAAATCACTAAATTGCAGTTCGATCTACTTATCAGTTTTATTTTCAGGTATGATCAAACTCTTTTCGAGGATGAAAACAAAAACAGAATGATGGAGACCAGAGAACTCTTTGAGTGGGTCCTAAAGCAACCTTGTTTTGAGGTCTGTCAATTACATGTGGTAGAATACTTTCCAACTTCTCTTGTTTCTTTAAAAACAAAAGTAACTTCTGAAAGCTTCTGTTTGCTCTTGAAAGATTTTATTGCACAAAGCATGATTATTATTTTTAGGTTCGGTGTTGAATCCATTGACTTTCCATCTAATGCTTTTAATCTTTTCTGATTCTGCAGAAGACATCATTCATGCTGTTTCTCAACAAATTCGATATATTTGAAAAGAAGGTTCTGAATGTAAGGAGACACATATTCTACTTTTTCAGTATATCAAAAGCCTATCCCCAGCATAGCATTTTGATCAATCTTCTCTTTGCTTAGGTTCCTCTAAATGCATGCGAGTGGTTTAAAGATTACCAACCAGTTTCAACGGGAAAACAAGAAATTGAGCATGCATACGAGTAAGCATTTTTTTTCAGGCTCTCTCTTTTACATGTGGGAATTGTCTTGGACACTGAAGAGGCAGGAATCCTAGCAAACTTCATATCTAATATGTCTAATCTTCTGATGGCCACCTTTTCACTGGCTACGTTACACTCTCTCTTTGCTTCTCACTTGAAATTGTTGCAAGTCTTCCCAGTATAGGTTTGCTTTTCTTTTTCTTGATTGCATATGTTGATTATCCATTTGGTGTGCTTATCATCTTGATTTAGGTTTGTTAAAAAGAAATTTGAGGAGTTGTACTTCCAGTGCACTGCCCCTGATCGCGTGGATCGAGTCTTTAAGATCTATAGAACCACTGCACTTGATCAGAAACTTGTGAAAAAGACATTCAAACTGGTGGATGAAACTTTGAGGAGGAGAAACCTTTTTGAAGCAGGTCTGTTGTGACCTAGAAGGTTTCTCAAGAGAGTGTCAAATTCTCAAATATTCTGGAGAGAGATTTATCAGGTTTTTTTAACCCCATCTATGATAGGCTATTGGCATATCTTAATCCACAGGTTAAAATTTTTGCATTTCATTCTTTTAGCAATCTACTTACTAGGTAAAGTTGATTTTTCCTTATTTTACCGTGTTACCATGGAAGATTCCGTCCTAGGACGTATTTCAGTCCATCATATTAAGGTATTTCAAGAATTTAACTGGCATGTCAGTTTTTTTTTTTTTTTTTTTTACTGGCATTGAAGATAATGCCATTGACGTTTTGAATTAACTAACTTGCTATCTTAGAGCTTTATCCACATAGGAATTAACATTGAACCTTGGAGCATTACAGTAAACTTTTCAATCTTTGTGCTCTTCCTTCAATTTAGTCCAAACAACAAAAAACAAAACATGTATCTTGAAAATATCAGACTTGAACCTTTTGCTCGTTTATTGAAACACTCACTAGTGAGGATGGAAATTAACGTGAAGGTTATACAAAGTTCACTTTTTTCTGTCCGAATATGGAAAGTAGGGGTGTACGCGAACCGAATAGTTTGTGAGCACTTATTGAGGTGTTTGGTCAACGGATCGTTTCGTTTCTCCTCAACTTTGATCGAGTTCAATAAAGAATTTCTAAAAGGCCTAAACCCTAACTTAACGGTTTGAGTTTAATCTAGTCGAGTTCGAACTCTTTAATGATCTCATTAAGTCGAATTCAAATTGCTGTTCTTTTGCCTGATCAATCTCGAACATCACTTTGAACATAGCACTGCTCGAACTCGTTTCGACTCGATTACGCCCTATAAGGCCTAATGTGAAGTATTCAGTCTACCCTTTCACCATGCATTTCACCATGCATGAAACATATGGATGGTTAGCTAGCCCTTGATGCCAATTCTTGAGATGGCCTCCATGAGAAAACTTTACGCGTGTAATCCCAGGAACAAATTCCTTAGATCCACGAGTGCGAAGTACTGTATCATATTAGGGAATGGAGAAATGTGACCGACCATTACACGGTATCATCAACCCACACAATAATGACTGAATAATCATGCATGCACCTAGAGCTCATGTTACACGTGTTTGAAAAGTATCAGTCTTTTTTCCTATGTAAAAATGTAAAAGACCTTTTTGCTTTTGTGAACTCAACTTTCTACGGCTTTTTCCAATGTACGAATTCCTACAGAAAAAAGAGTCACTTTCAACTTTAGTCAACATTCATAATCAACAAGGATTTGGCTTCCACGAAGAATAGTAATACAAAGTAAAAAAAAAGATTTGGAGGAAAAAAAATTAATAATTTTCATTTTCTCATCTCACCCTGTCATGATCAAATCAACATCCCGTTGATATAAAGTGTGTTTGGATAGCAAGTTATTTGTCCAAATATATTTGTTTACATCACCATTACAATTTTTAATACACCTTTTTATTTTTTCAATTATCTTTTTATCTCACATACATCACATCATAAAAAATGTTACAGTAAAAATATCTCAAATAACTTGCAATCCAAACTGACACATAATTACTTTTCTAAATATACCGAATCACCCATTTCTTTTTTTTCTTCCTTTTATATTTACCCGAATCACCCATTTCCTTTCATATCACGGTGTGACGTATATAAAATTTTATTTTATAATTACACATTATTGAAATTGAGTTATATTATAAGTATATAAAATTACATCCTGTATATTTTGCACAAAATCGACCCGAACAATTTTTCCAACAATCGTTCAGGCCCCGAGTCCGTCATGAATTGATCCCAAGAGACTTGCGTATGTAGTATAATCAATAATGAATGTGAACGCAAAAGAGGGGAAAGGGCATTGAAAGGAAAGTATCTACATTTGAAAACCAGACCAGAGGGTCTTCCGTCAGGGGACCATTTTCAGCCCTCAAACCGAACGCAGCAACAGCTTCTTTTCAAACACCGCTCGTCAAAAACGTAGAAGGGTCACTTTCTTTGAACAAAAACAAGTATCTTTTGAACCTTTCCAAAGAACTGCAATATAATATCAAATCAAATCGAAATTGTTAACCCAAAAAAGGGCACATGCAAATAAATTGCAATATTAACTCTTCCTTTCTTGTTTATTTTTCTTGCATTTACTATTTCTGCCGTCCTTTTCAATAACACGTTTGTTTGCTTTTGAAAGTCATAACGGCATATTCTTTCCTTTCATCCATATATTCTGCTTTTTCTTTTGCTTTCAAACCAGACTCAAAAACCAAAAGCCGTCTAGTATTTTTTTTTGTATCGAAAGTTTTCAATTTCAATAATGGGTTGTTGCTAATTTGATCGATCCGTCAATTGAAGCTGCCAAGTTCCTATTTTTTTTCCAGGTTTGTTCTGGTTTCTTTTCGACGACATTGGCCTAATAGTAGTATTTAGATTGACTTTTATCTAAGTTGATGTATTGCCTGTTGCATGCAGAAGATAATAGAATAGAAGTAATCTATTGTTTGCGTCGAATTTAATCCCAAAGTTTGAGGGCTTTCTGTCATTGTATTGGAAAAAGATTGGATCTTTGTAACTTGGTTGTTTCTCATTGAAGAAATCAATTGATCAATGTGATGGACTTATTTCCCATTCTTGATCTGGATGGCTTTATTTTCAGGTGTTAAAAGTTATGTCTCTTATTTGTAATTTGGGAACTTCAAAGTAATTTGCCTGTTCTTGCATTGGACTTTTTTTATCACGTGTCTGAACGTAAAGCAGTTTTTAATGAAAAATATTGCTCTAAAAAATCTCATTTTCCCTAGCCTTTTTTTTTTGTCTCTATGCAGTGTCCAGCTTGATTATTTTTGTAACTTGCGTGTAGTGTTTGTAATGAATCGGCTACTAACACAATCTTAATTGGAGCACTATTCGTACTTCTCCAACCCCCCATTTCTGACCGAGCAAGTCCATGTACTTGCGTATTTGAACATATTTTGAAGAAATTAAGTTTCAAAGGATGACAACCAGATTCCAAGTTGGATGTCCAGTACGGACATTCTGTTGCATTATAGTGTTTGCAAGTGGCCAAGTTGGGTTAATGTGTTAATTGGGTACTTTTGAAGAAAGCCCTCATTGCAATAGTATTGCTTGATTACACGGAAGTCCGTCTTTTTACTTGTTTAGATTTGTTGGCACAAAATGAGTCATCACAATGGTTTGTAATCTTATTTTGCTTTCAATTGTACTTTGTTGGTTACTTGTTTTGAGGATCAATTGAAACTATCGCTAATCAGTGAAATTGGAATTTTTGCAGGGATTATTTATTAGTGCCATTGTGGCTCTTATTGAGAATTTAATATAGTGGAACAGTTTGATTGGTTCCCATGGATCCCAATGGAGGTTCATCCAACATATTTCCAATGGATCCACTTGTACCACATAGATTCAGCATTCATTTTTTGTCGCACATTGTCTCATTTGTTGACAATTCCAGATACTTGTGTGTCCCTGGAACTTTGGCACTTCAAGAAGCTTTCAACTGTTTTTCAAAGTTTGCTGGTGCTTTCTTTATTTGGTTTGCTAGAGGTTCAAATTCCAATATAAATGGTAAGATATTGGGCAGACATGATGGTTCAAATCCTATTAATTGCAAGGGTGATAACCAACTAAAGCGTATAATATCACAAGGACAAAAGTTTAAAGGAGTTTTAGACAATTGTATATGTGAAGGGAAATCAAGCATCCCTTTCATCTTGGACAAGATTTCAAGGTTCTCTATGAAGCAATTTTACATTGAAGCTGAACACCTCCGTTCATTTCCTGCGCTGTCATTAGCTGCTGCTCTGGTACCTCCATTAAACAACGTGTAAGATCTTCTTTCCAGCCAGACCGAACATTTTGGTGAAAAGTTCTTAACTTTTATTAGATAATGATTTAGGAGCATGAGTTTTGGTGTTCCCTGTTGGTTTAGTATCCAGATGGTTTTGATTTTTAATCCGAACTTTGTGTTTTTGTGGACTTTATCAGCTATCCAGATGTACTGGCCGTTCCTTTGGAGGCTGGTGACATTGCAACACAGAGATGCTTGAGTCAGAGGCCTTGTGAGATTGAGCATCAAGGGTGCAATGATATTTCTTTTCAGAGTTTGAGCTGGACTGGACATGCTGTAGAGCCTAGAACAGGCATTGAGTTCCCTACCATCTTAGATAACAGTGTAGCTGCAGAGCATAATTCGAGTTTCACATCAGAGGTATGTTTGGAACAGGAAACATTGTCGATTGAACATGTTCTGCTCATTTGCATGTTTGAAGCCTTACTGGAATTTTTGGGGTCATATTCACTTTTAATTTCTGAATATAACTTAAACTTTTGTGTTTTTTGTACTTGGCATTAGTCCAATGCTTTGCTGCTCTTCCACTATTTTTCAGATAATTTTGCACTTTTTTTTAATTGAATGCTCACTATTGACACTGGAGGTGATTTACAAAATTGACTTAGTGGGTTGGTTCACTGTATATCAAATTGAAAATGTTTTGCTCATGAATTCCCTTGTTAGTTTTTTTCCTTGTTTGTGATTTATGTTTGCATATGGGGTTTCACTGCCCTTCTTCATCGGTAATGACTGGGGGATTTTTTCATTTCACCTTTTAAAAGAAATGATTGATTACAACAACGCATCTGTATTAGGTACTTGTCGGCACTGGATCAAGAATAATGAAGATAATCAGAATCAAATCTCTTAATGTCTATGCATTTGGTTTTTGTAAGTTCCTTATCAACTGAGGATTCCAGTTTGTAATGTCTAGTTTTCTGAATTTCTACTCAAGATTTGACTTTTACTGTATTGTGGATAGATGTTCATCCTTTTGATATCTGTGAGAAGCTGGGTCCAAAGTATGGTTCTCTTCCAGTTAGTGAGCTGAACAAGTCTTGTGATTTTTATGAAGACCTCCTCAGGTATTTGAACAAGTATTGAATAACCACAGCCATATTATCTAGATTCCCTTTTTTTCTTTTTCTGCTTGTATCTCTAGTTTGCTGAACAACACTGAATATGGAAGATGAAAGAATAGGACATTTATTCAGGCTTTTTCGCATAAAAGAAGCATAGCTCATGGTGTAGTATCTGGATTCAAAAAAAAGTTGGTTACATCTTTAACTAGGAAGAAGTCATTGCACTTGTTGGTCATCAACTGAAGTTGTCTACTGGAATAGGTTTATGAGTAGAATAGAGGTCAAAGTTCTAAGGTGTGTTCCATGGTCAAATCAATATTGTGGTATGTTGTGGAGGTCTTAATTTAGGTTTCTCATCTCAAGCAGCTAGCATATTTGAATTCCAATGGCAAATGCGTAAATATTACTCTTGAAGTAAAATTATGTTGATTTATTTTGAATATTGTTTTCCTAAATAAAAGATTCAGAAAGAGCAATTTTATTTCCGTAAATTGGATGAATTTTTTTATGTTTGCAACACTTTGCACAAATAGCCACGTGTAGCATCATCTTCTAGAGGTTGTCCCTTCAAACAGGAGGCTATGCTCTTAATAATGGTAGTGCACTTTGCATTTGAGCATTGCCATGTCCATGATTTCATTGTACATCTTCTATGGCTTATGGTAATGGATTGAGACAGACACCAAATTGTTTGTTCTGGGTGCTAGAGCCTAGAATAAATTTTCACCTGGTATTTTTTTCTTTGTAGAAAAATGTTAATTTTTTGAAAGACATGGATTAGTTGGTTGGCTTACTTGATGTCCATGGACTCAGATTTTTTGGACAAATAATTCTTGTAAACTCATGGAGACTTGGAATCATTACAATTATTTGTTTGCTAATATTGGCAAATATGCTGCAGGGAAGACATTAATATGACTGTCAGGCTTGTGGTTAGCTGCAATGGGATCAAAATTAATACTGTTAAGGAGTAAGTTGATTTTTTAGCAGTATGGTTTTGGAAAAAAATACGTGCAGTTATTGTGTCTATGCTAAATTTGTCCCTGTAATATACTAACTTTATACACTTATTTCCCTAATTATTGGTGATTGATTAATTCCCATGAATCCTTTTTCTTGTTTCTTATCACCACTAGTGCCCCAAACAGTCCATTTTGTTTGCCATTTACCTTTCCACATGTCTTCTTACTATTTCTTTCTGCTTAGTGTCAAGAATGGATTTTCCCTCCTTTCTTTTTGGAACCTTGCCTTGATTTGTGACCTAGAGGAAGAAATTTAAAATGGCCTTTATATATCTTGACTTAGAGTTTGAAAATCTATTAATTTTTGTGCAAAAGGTTGCTGCTTGATGAATGGGCAAAAATTCACAGTTTAATTGGATTCTGTTTAACAAGCAAAAAGATTTCTCTTTCTTTGTTGTTGACTGCAGGTCTTTCTACATGTAAACTTGTGCAAATTCTTGTGACTAATATTAGCGTCCTTATTTATCTTTTCTGCAGTGCTTTTGAGAAATCTCTTCGAGCCCGATTATTGAAGGTAAGTCATCTCTTTTAAGCTTTATTTCTGCAATCCTAATTAACTATTTTGTCAATCTGGTGCACTGATATGTTTTTTTTTTTTTTCAGACCAATCCTGACACCGATTTCAGCTGCCTACAAAGATTTGGTTCTATCTTTTCAAATGACATTCCTTTGCATGCTGTAAGAAGTCTTTCCCTAGATCTTGTAATTTGAGGTGTAACATAATTAATATCTCTGACCTAAAAATTGAACTTTTCAGGGAACCACGATCAATTTTCGTCGTACGGCCAATGGATCTTTTATTACTGAAAGTAAGTAAATATGACTGAGGAATATCTATTGAGTATTCTTTATTTGTCTGGGGTTTTATAGCTGAAAGCTGTTCTGATGGTTAGCTCCCAAGCTAATTAGAGCTTCAATGCATTCAGGTTTTCTGTTAACTTGTCAAATGCAATGACATGATCTGTAAAGATGAATCTGTATTACAGAATTAACCTTTTGAGCTTGGTTTTGGTAAAGCTTGATTTAGTGTGGATCAGATCATAAATAAAGCAGTGCTGAACGCAATGGTGAAACTTGTTTAGAAACTCAAGCAGGGTTGGAAAAGCTTAATGTTGTTTTAACTAAATTATATTTCCTAGTGTAGCAGTCCCCATCTTCCCATGTTAGTTACCAAATTTCATTGGCATGGTATCAAGGTTTCTCATTTTGTTTTTGTGTTCGAGTACTGCCGGTTTACTACAGAATGGCCTGTGTATTTTAACATCGGCGATAGTAAAGACAGCAAAAGTAAAAGCGTTTGGATATTCATCTGTAGTCCTTAATATTTTAACTGTTATTTGTGCAGTTGGGGATAATCAGCTTGGAGCGGTACAAAGCAAGGAATTATGTAGTAAGTTATTAGGCTACTGTTTGGATGTTCAATAACCTCTAGTAGAATGTGGACCAGTTTTGTTTTTCAAACATATCCTAAAGAGGAAACGAGAAGGTAGATTAACAACAAAAGAATCACTACTAACATCTATATGTATATATCTTTTTTGCCCAGGGGCTTTCTTTGACATGTATATAGGTGATATTCCTGTCTGTGAACAAACGAAGGAACAGATTGGGGAGAATGTGGCGAGTATAATGCGGAGATGCTGAATCCGTCGAGTTTTGGTTTCAATCTCATTTTCTTGAATGAGTTGTTTGCATTTGGGTCAAATTTTTGGCACCCATGGCTTCAATATCACCTGACTGATGCACCACTCTTCAGTCTTGGCTCCTTGGAATTAATTTTGTATGTGCCATTCTTCTGGCATCATGGGTTCGTAACATTTATCCACAGTGTAGTTAGCTAGGGTCCATAAACTTGTAGGCTTTGTTAGCATGGTAGGAATCCTAGTTGATTGTAGTATTATGAGCATTTGCAGCTATGGACTTGCTGCTGCAGCTGTTGTACATTTCAGTGATAGTGAAATTTACTGGCACCACCATTTCGATTATTTGTTTTTGGTTCGGACTTGATCATTTCCATCTTTGGCAATTGGGTTGGGAATTAAATTTCAGGTTTAAAATCACAAATCTTTGAACTGGAATAAAATTGTCGAACCAGGATTCTGTGGAAAACTTTCATTCGGAATACTATTGCATGCTTCTGCACATTGAAAATCTGTGTAGCAGCAGATTAGATGCAAACCTATACGTTAGTCCACGGCCTCTTCCTACGTTACTCCAAGACCACAATGTTGTGAAGAACTATTACCGTATCAAATAAAGTTATCTTTTTTTTTTTTTGTCAATCATGACTTTTTATCTATAGTATTCTACACTATCTTAATTTAAGGAGGAGATTCAATTGGGTCTAGAGGGGACGGTGGGGATTGAACCACCACCGAATTAGAATCTACTTAGTGTGTCTCTCACGCCACCAAGCCTTAAATGGCTTAGTGGTGGCCACCAGTCCAAAGGCCGGTGGTTGTATCAAATAAAGTTTACGAAAACTTGAAAATAGCCAAAGTGAAACGTACGATCTTGTTGCTTTCTTTCCTTGTTTTCATTGAAAGAAAGGGTGAACGTAAATTTCCATATGCAAATGAACACTAGTATTTTTTTTTAAGAGGTGGATGAGAAAATTAGGGAGTGATTTAGTTTGAAATTGTAGGTATATCTAAATTTATGGGAGATACGGATTAGCAAGTGATATGATGGTTAGCAGGCACGGGACAAGTCATTTTTCTAAACCTTATGCAATTAGCTAATGATGAACCATGGACTTATATAAAAAAAAAAAAAAGAGAGGGTAAAATATGCATGGTTATAATATGCAACAATTCTACCACTAGTTGCTGGCTGCTTGTTGAATTATTCATGTTAGAGAAAGAAATCAGCAAGACTGTTATCTGACTGTTATCCATCTTCTCCTTACCTTACATTTCCAATTTGTACTGTGAACCAATGAGCAGAATTGGTGGGCTAAGTTCATTTCCTTCTATTTCCGGTTGAGAATCTCCAAACTGAACTGCCTTCCTTAACTAACTTGTCAGATATAGACTTCCCGTCTAGACTATCCCAGGAGTTCTGCAATCCATGGTCTTTAATGTCAGGTTGAATTCATGGAATTCTATAAACATATGTTAGGAGCCTTTACCTTGGTGTGTTATTTTGTGTTTGTAGCTAATGCACAATTTAATTATCGAGATGCACTTAGCAAGTCAATCATTTTTCTGGAGGCACAGAGATCAGGAAAGCTTCCTCCCAACCACAGGCCTTCTTGGAGAGGAGATTCTGCACTTCAAGATGGAAAACTTGCCAACGTTCGTATATCCCTGTCTCTATATTTGGTCCATATTTGAGATTCTATTGAATTCATGTGATTTTAAACAAGGGATGTGACAGTTTTTTTTCATTAGGTGGACCTCGTTGGAGGATACTATGATGCAGGGGACAACGTAAAATATGGCCTTCCAATGGCATTTACCATAACTACCTTATCCTGGGCTGCAATCTTCTACCAATCAGATATCCAAGCAGCTGGAGAATTGGCAAATGTTCATTCAGCCATTAGATGGGGCACTGATTACTTACTGAAAGCTAGTTCTAGGAGAGACAGATTGTATGTGCAGGTGAGAAAGATTCATAGAGGAATGTAATTTACAATCATTGTACTCATCTACTTATGTTTGCACTTTTTGGTTAAGGTAGGAGATCCAGTTCAAGATCATCAATGTTGGATACGGCCAGAAAATATGAAAACTCCAAGAAATGTATTGCAAATTGACCGAAGTGATCCGGGAACGGAAATTGCAGCAGAAACTGCTGCAGCAATGGCAGCTGCTTCTGTTGTCTTTAGATATTCTGATCATGCCCATTCTCGTCGCCTCCTTAATAAAGCCAAAGCGGTATTTTTCCAGCCAAGATTCACTTTTATTAATTTTCTCCAAGGAAGCATCGTGCATTACCCTTCCTGCTCGACATTAAAAGAATTGAATTTCTTTATTGATTATCTGACTGCTACACTCTGAGTATCTGCAATATGCTGTCCTCATACTTAAACTGAATTTTGGCTTTGCAGCTTTTTAAGTTTGCCAAGACTTACAAGGGCACATATGATGGAGAATGCCCCTTCTATTGCTCTTACTCGGGCTATAACGTAATCTCTCTTTCTCAGTCACTCCTCCTAAAAGGCCAATATTAATGGACAAAGCTCATTAAAAACCAGAAAGAGATTCGGGAATGTAATCATTCATCTAGGGACTAGTTATAGCAAAACGGGAAGAAGAAATTTGACACGGTTGAATTCATTTGAATTGTGCTAGTCTGGAGTCGAGGATATTTGATATCTGGTTTCTTGCTTACATGTCCTACTGCAGGATGAGTTGCTTTGGGCAGCTACATGGCTATACGTCGCAACCAAGAGATCTATTTATCTGGAATACATACAAGAAGAGGCCATCACTGCAACTGTTAGTGAATTTAGCTGGGATCTCAAATATGCAGGGGCCCAAGTTCTCCTATCCCAAGTAAACGTTTACTCATTCCTTGTATACAAATCATTTAACATGTATGAAAGAAAATATATTAGCAGATATCATATTCTTTATTATAGTCAACTCACAGGCCTTGTTAATTGCACATTTCACATTTTGCTTTATAATTGGCCAGTTATACTGGCAAGGCCACAAAGATCTAAAGAACTTCAAGCAAGACGCTGATAGTTATATCTGCTCAGTACTTCCTGATAGCCCCTATCACCAGGTTTACTTCACTCCAGGTATTTCTCCCCTCCATCCAAATTTCCTTTGAAGCTTATATTTGAGTACTACTGATATATGTGTAAAATTTACTCATGTCTGACTATTCTGTTAGGTGGTCTGATTCACCTGAGAGATGGAGCAAATGCACAGTATGTAACTGGCACTGCCTTTCTGTTCAGTGTCTACAGTGATCTATTGTCCAGGCACAAGCAACAAGTCACTTGCGGAAATAAAGCATTCACTTCTTCCCAGCTCATGGCTTTTGCTAAACAACAGGTGACAACTATTCTTCAGACCCTCTTCATTATTCATGATCATAACATATGAATGTGATCAAGAAAAAAACAGAGAAGTTTCTCAGTGAAAATTTCTCATTTTTATGCCGTCCGTACATCTGCAGATGGATTATCTACTTGGGAAAAATCCCAAGGGAAGATCATACATGGTTGGGTTCGGTAACAATCCACCAAGACAAGCCCACCACAGGGGTGCCTCTGTCCCAAGAATGTCTTCTACTGAAGTTGTCAGCTGCCCAATGACCTTTGTCAACTGGTACAACAAAAATGGACCAAATCCTAATGAGCTGACCGGCGCTATTGTTGGGGGCCCTGATCGGAATGACAACTTTGTTGATCAACGTGCAAGCTCAGCCATGACAGAGCCCACAACATACACCAATTCTTTGGCCATTGGGGTCCTTGCAAAGCTAGCTAAGCACCATGCTGTTTCTTGATCCATTAGTCTATGAAATCATATAGTCTGTGAAGGAGGAATCCTTGGCCTGTCCAAACTTCCAAATTAAAGCAGATTAGTAAGTCTGTTTTCTTGTACACAATATGTTTTTTTTTTTTTTTTGGGTAGCTCGGAGGGAGCAATGCCTTGGCAGTTAGCTCATGTAGATGCAGAGGTAGTCGAAAAGTCATGGAAGCCGAAGCTTCCAGGTGCGTAGAGTAAATCTGATGAAATGCCATATTTGTACTGTGGTTTATAGGATTTGTTTTGTTCATCATAGAGCGTTACGTTACATACATGTATGCTAAAGTAGTAGAAATTTGTTGGATTTTTATCTGTCTTGAAACGAAGTTCTCAGTTTCCAAGATTTGATTCTCATCCACAATAGAATTAGAAACCATTGCAGTATTATGAGAAAAAAAAAGGATATAGTGAATTTATTCTGCTGATATTGGTATTCTGTAGCGCATTATCCGCTGCTAAGCAATAAATCATAAGTAGAAGCGAATCCACAACAACAACAGAATAGAAGAGGAAGATAAATCAGTGGCTTATTAGTAAACGCCGTGAGAGACTTTACGCTCCCTTTTGGATATCATACCCACAAGTAAAATCTATCAGTATAATAGATGATACGGTAAGTGTTATTGACTCTTAAATTATTTACAAAAATATTTTCAAGAAATAGAAGTGAGAGATTGGTACGTTAAACAAAATTGTAGAACATTTTTTTGAACTGTAATGGTTTTCTAATCAATTATCATCAGGGCTGAGGTTTATGAAGGACAAACTTGTGCGCAGAACTACCCACCAACAACCGTAAATAAACGCACACGCACACTATCTAAGGGAAACCCACAGCCCAACCCAAAAGACATGCTGACTTTCAAGCCACACTGAGAACCTTAAGCAGTACACACACAAATTACAATCGATGTGGGATAGAGAAAAAGGGATTGAAGAAACATCACGACTATTTTCCAAAGGCTCATTTCGGCTTTTACCGTTCCATGATTTTCCTTATCCACCAACAACAACAGTAAATAAACGCCGGCACCCTTATCCACCAACAACCGCTCCATGTGTGCGCAGAACTACCCGTTACACATGATTTATTATATGGGAGGTGGGTACGCGACAGAGAGTGATAAAAAGTCTCTGCTGTTGCCAAGATAGATGGAACAGCAAGAAAGAATGTAACACTACTATTTAAGACTGTCTAGGCTGGGAAGTTGTCCCTTTCAAGTGGATCAAGTGGGCTGAGGCATCCGTACAATTGTGAGTCAGAAACAAGCGACCCACAGAGGAAAAGGATCCACAGATTACAGATACAAGGATAAGGACTTTTTCCAAGAAAATTGACTCTTAAGCGCTTTGAGCTTTGAGGGAGGGCCAGATAGAATTATGCTAAATCATAGTAGATGTGTAACACGAAAAGCAACCTGCCATTCTTGTTAGCACTTATTTCAACTAGTAATACGAATAATAGCCAATTCAAGCAATTGAGACTAGTATGTTGTCTCTTTCAATTCTCATGTAAACACACAACCAAACCTGCATCTTAATCTTCTAGATTACACTTTCAAAACATTAGTAATCAATGCTTTAGCATTTGGAGATGTAGGCGGTGGTGGCGGTGATGTTGGTGGTGTTGTTGAGATCTTATCCATTTTAGCGCAATAGATGAAGGGACCCCACTCCATTTTAATGAGAGTTCAGGCTTTTTTTTCATCTAATTAGCACTACTACACAACACTGGCTATTCATTTGGATAAGCTTTCAACTAGAAGTATCTACTGTGGAGAAGTACAGAGCCAGCTAAGCTGTGTGTAATTAAACCAACAACTGTTCGTGCGTGCTGTTGATCACCACTGACGGTTTAAAGTCTTGACGGAACGGGAGGTTAAAGGTTCAAATTTTATCTTCCATCGCATTGTTATTACGTAACTTCTCTAAATTCATACGAGTGATATATAATGCATATATTTGGTCCGATGATGGTTCAATCCTTTTGTTGACCTAATTGGATCGCCTCTTAAAATAGGTTAGAGTAGAAATAGGAGTAGGAGCAGAGTAGATTGTGACAATTGATAAAAAGAAAAAAAAAAAGTAGTTTGTAATTAGCCCAAGAAACAAAAAATGTAGCGTGTAATTGGCAATTAGCAATAGTCATATTATTGGTAACCAAAGATTCTATGACCCGAGGTGGAAAAATGGGGGATGAAAATGTTGGGTTGGGAGTCCCAAATCAAATGAATGAAAGCCACGGGTTGAAATTTGTTGGTGGTTCGAAGATAACAAAGGAAGATTGAAGGAAGAATTATGGATAAGCACTAAGAAAAAAGCTACCCACATCAATCATTGTTTTAGACACGAGACATTAATTGTCTCCTCTTCTCCAGCTACTCTACTCGATTTCCTCCTCCCATCTTTTCCTCTTTCTCTCCTTAAAAGTTAATTCTATCCCACCCATTGTCCTTTGATTTCTAATCATCCTTTAATCTTCTTTCAGCTTTGGCCTAATTGTATTTGACCCATAAAAGCATTGCACAAAACAAACAAATTAAGGGCCCTACCATTTTCACACTCTTTAACTCATGATCACATTAATAGCAACAGTCATTTTTCGTCTCAATAGCCCTATAGGATGGAATTTTGCACCAATAAAACATCACATCAGATAATCAATCATCTAGCCTTCTTTTTTTTTTTTGTTGGTGAATTTTGCTGCTGGCTAGGCATTGCGTTATTTTTCCAGTAATTTATAGGGATGACAATTGGACAATTGACCCGCGGGGCTAATGGGGCGGGGTGGGGGGAATTTTTCCCCCATTTAGAAATGGGGTGGGAGAGTATATCCCTGTCCTATCCCCTATCCCGGCACCTATTGAAAAAAATTAAATAACTTTCATCATGTAGATTGTATTTAAATAACTTTTATTTGATTGTTTTTATGAGTTTCAATCGTAAAATTATAATGAATAATAACTTGATGATATGCTAATATTTTATTACTTGCTTATTTGCTAAAATTTAATTATGATAAAATTATATAACAAAATTTTATTAACCCATCGAGGAAACGGGCAGGGACCGGGGTTGCCGGGGACGGAGATGGGGCGAGAGTGGGGGAATTAGTAGGTACCGGGGCAGCCTCCCCTGCCCCAATCCTGCCCGTTGCCATCCCCTAGTAATTTTTGTTTGCAGCATTTTTGTTTTTGTCCTTCTATAGTAAAAGAGACATATATATACATAATACATACAGGTTAGCAAAGCTGGTTTTTTGCCCCAAGGTTAGGACACGTTGTTGTTGACGTTAATCCCTTATTATTGCTTAGCGCATAGTCTAGTCACGCATGAAAATATGGATAACTTTTGGATGGGAGATGATTAAGACCAGTTTCATTAGCTTAATTAATCACCATTAACTAATCATAGTTGATATTTAAGCTACTAGACCTCAAATTTGACCACAAGTTAGGTAACCACTAGGACTTAATTATAGTACTTATTGATTAAGCAGAAACGTAAACCACTGGATAACTTCCCCCCTAGAGTTAATACCACAATAACTAATATCTTAATTAATTAATTAATTAATTGTAGTACGTTAAAAGGCTTTTTCTTTTCTAACAGGGTGACAGACAATGGATGAGGATTGAGAGGATAAGACCTAACCTCCCCACTCTTTTCAGCTATTTAATACATACATACTTCTATATTAAAAAACACCTATATTATCCAATTCAATCCTCTCATCATACTTTTTCATTCATTTTATTTTATTTGTTTAAGAATTCGGATAAAACAAATATTATTATTTTGTCTTAATGATAACTTATAGTAATACTACCAAACATGGCTTCTCTTGTGATTGTGCATAATTCACTTCTTCTTCTGTTTTTCATCAGAGATCTCATCATTATCTTTAATGGCGAAACCATCTTTCCTCCATAGCAATATCATACTAACCATCATCGTCATCTTCATCACCATCAACCATTCCTTTAAGACCTCATTTTTATAGCACAGAACCCTTTTCTTTTCCTTTTTTTTTTCTTTTTTTGGGTAAATTATTTCCTTTTTGTGGGTTCTGACTGTCCGTGCATTGGTACTATCATTTTCTTGATTCATGAAACTTTGATGGTTCTAGGGGAAAAAGGGTCCTTAAGTTTGATGAATAAAGGTGGGGTAAAGAGTTCTGCATACGTGCATGGGATGTCATGCATATCCACGATCGATTCCCCGGAGATTTGCAATGAAGACGGGAGATGTTTGGTTGAAGAGAAAGTGGTGGGAAAGGAGACCAAAAGAGAAGATTTTGAGGCAATGAATACATGCTGCAGCAGTTCCTCAACATCATCCATTGGAAAGAACAGTGATGTTTCCGGCAGGTCAGTTGAGAATCCCGGGGACTCTGCTGAGGTACAAAGCTCCTATAAAGGAGGCCCCTTAGATGCAATGGAAGCTTTGGAAGAGGTTTTACCCATAAGGTACTTCAATTCTTGGTCACCATTCCTCGAGTACAATGTGTATAACACGATCCAACTGCGTTGTTTGTAGATCGATCGATTAGTGGCGATGTTCCTCGATCTCCTGTACTCTCTATCCTTCTTCTTCTTCTTCTTCTTTTTTTTTTTTTTTGGGAAAATTCTATTCATTTTGTGGTTTGTGTGAATCTTGGAAACTCTTCTGGTCAAATATGTTAACTAACACACTCTTTTGGTGCGTCAGAAATGACGGCAAGCCAAGAAGTCTCCTGGGCATTCATTATGGTACGCAGTGTTACTAGGGAACTGCATTGTTTAGCTCAATAATAGATAAACATACTAGATTAGATACATAATAGTTTCTTCTAGTAATAATTTTGGCCTCCTTATAAAGGATGCTGCAAATGATAGTATGGAATTTATGTCTAGGAGAGTGAAAATATTGCAAAGAGCAATGGATCTGTGGCGGATTATATACAATACACGAACAATACAAGTAGAGATTCCACCATGACCTCTTTAACATTGTACTTGAGTGGTTTGACACCTGATAATACTTTTAAAGAATGATTGAATAGCCGGAGTACGATACACTATGACTTGTGAAAGCTTTTAAATAATGTACTAGAAGTTTTGGTCGGCTTTATTTTATGTGAAGTTCAAGACAGAAAGCTAGTAAGTTTGAGTTCTGGCCAGTGGTAATTGATCTTGGAAATGCCCCTATCTCCCCCCTTTGCTCTTGCCTATGTGAGCTAATACGAACAAAATATAGTCAAATACTGAAAGGGTGGCATGAGGTGGAAGGGAAGTTTATTGAACCAAAGTTACTAGAGTAACGGATCACAATTCATAAGCCTGGTTACAGCTCATGGTATGGTACTCTCCCCTGATCAAAGGCAAATGTGGCAACTTTCACCAATAACAAATATAGTTGGTGAGACCCATCCGAAGTGGAAAAGATTTTAGTATCTTCAAAAGTTAATCTGGGATTCCCTTTAGTCAATGTCATATTTCCTTTGTAACCCTTTACTTCCAACTTCTAGGAAAAATAGGTAAAGAAAAGTAGTAAAATTTTTGAAGTTTTTCTTTTACTGCGCATGGTTAGTGCTAGTCAAGTTTTCTGTTGCCTTGCATATTAGTAGTAATACATTCAGGCTTGAATGAATGGTCTCTATATATATATATATGCAACATGGTTGAGATATTCCGTGGTGGGATGATATATCATCTTGTTATTGTGCAGAAGAGGCATCTCAAGCTTCTACAATGGCAAGTCGAAGTCATTTGCAAGTCTAGCTGATGCTGCTTCTTCAACCTCCTCCATCAAAGACATCGGGAAGCCGGAAAATGCCTACATTAGGAAGAGAAGAAACCAGCTTGCCTGCAGTCTTGCCTGGGACAGCAACAAGAGCAGAAGTTCCCCACTTAGAAGCAACAGTGGTGGAGTGTCAAAAAGAGTAATCAACTCAGGTCGTACCAGTTTGGCTCTTGCAGTCACAATGAGCAGTTCTGGAATCTACCACGCTAAGAATGAAAATGCGAGTCCTTGGCCGAAAGATGTGATATCGGCTTCTCCACCATCCCTTCTTGGAGCTTGTCACCATTCGCAATTCAGAGACTACCACCTGCATAACGGATCATCCTTGGCGGCGCCGCCTCCACGACAGAACTTCTCTGCCTGGAGATCACTCTCCTTGGCTGATTTACAGCAATGTGTTTCCATTACAGCTGCCTGTACATCTTCTAGTACAAGTCGGTTAGATATAAAGCCCTCTTAAGACATAAGTTTTTTCTTGTTAACCAAGAAGAGCTCCAGGAGAAGCCATATTGATCAGTAGACTTGTAAATCTGCTCCTTCCCTCACTTCTTTATTTATTGGAGATCCGGTCTTTTTCTGAGGGATCTCTTCAAGCCTGCCTGCATTCCCCAACCGTTTGCTTTTAACCTGTCAATCTTACAGGTTGGGAGCACATTGACACGCGAAAGCCCAAAATAGTCTAATTACTGGGCGAACAAAGGACTGCTGCATCTCAAGTCAATACTTCTGAAACCCTTCAATGCATCTCAAGTGCAAATTCACACCATACAACAGGATTTTGCTTCAAAGACGATAATACAAGGCACGCGTCTAATTATTGATTAATGAAAGCCGTTTAAGGGTGCACAAGTGGCAATACTCATTCATGTAGCTAGAGAGGCTGAGAGATGAAACGATTGTATTACCAAATATTACAAGATGATGTACACTGTACAGAGCTCAAAAGGCTAATCTTTTGAGAAGATAAATATTGTGATTCAAGCAGATGTTATCTATCCCATATACAAATCATCCACTTCCTAAATAAAAGTGTGACCTATCTAGATTCTGGGGATTTCACCCTAATGAATCCCCGTAGACTAAGAAAAAGAAATTTCTCTTTTCCTGCCGATAATTATAGCAGCATCGAGAAACTACAGACTGGCCTTGGAAAACAACACTACATTGTATTAACCCTGAGCCCAATGATGATCAAGAAAAGAAATATGCTCAGGATGCAAAGCTGGTCCAGTATCTCCTGAACTGAGCTCAATTCTTTCAGCTGATAGCATCAAGGTAAGGTATTTACGTTTATGTTCTTGACCAGGAACTGTGCAGAAGGATATTCTGACAAAAACTTGGGGAGCTCCACATCTGATGGATCTACTGGCGGAAGTGCCATATAAATATCCTCCGTTGAGAACGGAATGCTGCAAAAGATTTTCGATATGTTAAGGTGAAGAAAACTCTTTAACTGATTCAGTGATAATTTTTGTGTGAATGGCAGTACATATACAGCATCCAAGGTTAGTAACATACAGCTTGCGATGCACATGACTCAGAAGCATAGCATTTGCTATTTGGTAAATATTGGTAAGTTTCATCTAAGGCCGCGAACCAACTAATGCAGACAAAAGGTAACACGGAAGCTTTAACGAAAAGCAACTCAGTGACATCAGCTAAGAGCACACATACAAAAGTTAAGGAAAATTATATATTTATTTATATGTACAGCATGAATATCTAATACATGCAATGCAGAAACTACCAAATGGATGAACAGAATAGACTCCATATATTGCAACTACTACAGTAGGAAATATAGAATTTCAAAACGATGACCAAGATAGAAAGTTGCAAACGCAATCCTGTATTAACATTCTCTACCAGAACACAATCCTGAACTACCACAGAATCGACAGGTGATTACCTTAGATCATCATCCAACAAGAATGAATTTGATGTCAAATTTTGAGAATCTTTACCTTAGATCATCATCCAACAAGAATGAATTTGATGTCAAATTTTGAGAATCTTTATTTAGGGTCTCTCTCATCTGAGCAACAACCTGCAAATTAAATTTCTCCAAAAACTCAGAGGAGTACTTAATTAGACTAAGGAGTTTGAAAACAAGAAACTTACCTCATTTGACACACTTTGAGTCCCATACTTGTCATCCCAGTACATTGTACTTATGCGATAGATTTGCCTGATCGTCAATGCCTGAAAGAACAAGGTAAGAGTCAAGAAAGGAGATATTGGACTAAAAGGAGTACATGTCTATTAAGACACTATAGAAGATATTACCGGACAAAGATCCTGCATTATCTCATCTAATGACTTTTTTCTCTTCTGATGAATCACCTACAATAAATAAATAATCGAGTAAAAGGTTGAGTAGAATAAAACAGAGTATAATTCATATTTCAGAAGCAGTAGGTTTCATACCAGAAAGCCAACAGCCTGTCTAATGTAATTTAGTTCATGCCAAGAGGTTCCTGCAAACTAGATTTGGTAATAATGATTCAGGCCTGGATGAGTATGAGAGACAAATTCTGCACACAATGTCAATAATCAACAAAACAATTTTAGAACCTCCTCTTTTGCAGTCACTATCCATTTCTCCAGTTCGGCCAGACCAGATTTAACATATTCTCCATTTGAAAAAGTGCAACACTCTCGTCGAAGCAATAAGCTGCAAATTAAAATTAGGCAATCTAAGTGATTGGAACACTTGGACAACTAGAAGGCTATGAATCATTATATACATACCTGTTAAAAAGTGATATATTGATGAAAGAGAAAACTTGAGTAATGAGCTTGCGGATGAAAAATGAAGGTACCTGCAGGAAAATAAAACATAAGTTTTGCACCTGAACGATCACTAGCAAAAACACACTTGTGCCTACCAATTTACATCACCAAATGCATGCAGTGAACAAACATGGAAATAGGAACTGTATTCACTTAAATTCTGGCATTCATTCCACAGTCAGACCACTTCACTTTAACAACCTGTTTGGTTAAAATTCAACAATCACCAATCACTATTAACTAGTTTATAGGAATGGGTTGTTATAAAGACTCATAGAGTTTTTGGTTTTTTAGATTCAGGAATAGATTTTATAGTTTATTTCTTCATTTAAAAATGTTTTACTTTTCCCATTTTTTCTTTTTTATTTTCGTTCCCACTCCTCTAGCATCACCTTCTGAGAATAGAAATCTGCCCATTACCCACTGCTGCCGCCTCATGCCAGACATCGTCAAACCACCCTCCTCATTGGCATATAAACACCATAAAATAAATCATAAAACTTCTCTTTAGGCTGTGAACATCTTTCTTTGGATGTGGTCAAAAACACAACAAACTTTCGCTTCAGGAAACTCTAATATTCAACAAACCCATGTAGATGTACCAAATATGCAACATGAAATTCCAATTAAATACATCAGAGTGCTCCTCGCATCATCTATTTCAAGAGCAGATAGATTTTTCATTCTGGTCAACGAAAAATAGTAGGACAAATAGTGCAAGCCCCATTGCCAATGATTCTTAAGAGATTGGATGCTTTGCAGATAGGCTATAGAACAAAATGCTTTACAAAACTGATGAGATGAGAATTAAAGGAGTAAGCAGAGGGAAAGGTGAGAGAATGAGTGATGAAGGAGGAAGAGGACGAGAAGGTGAGAAATTAAGGTCGAAGAAGGAAGCAGAGTAGGTGAGACAGTGAGGGTTGGGGTTGACAAGATGAAGACGACGTCGAGTATTCAGCTTTGTTTTTTCTTTTTCAGTTCTTTATAATTAAAACATAAGAGTAAGTGGGTAATCAAATCAATACCCAACTACAAGCTGGTTAATCACGAAACCCATAGAATTGGTTTTTATTCCGTTGATTAATTCTGGTTGGCCTCAAACAAACACAATGTATGGGTATCTTTTAACTTAAAACCCCATTCCTGGCATTGAAACCCACTTACGAAACGACTCTTAAGATTCTTTCACCCAAAAACAATTTAACACTTAATCGAGACAAAGAAGGATGTTGCGCTTTTTCCATAGTTGCTAATCTATAGGAGATACAATCATTATAAACAGAAAGTAAGGCACGGATCATAAACCAAAAGACAGATCACAACTCAAAACAAAGATTACAACTGTACAAAATACAACCTGATGGCATCACAAAAAATAGAGATGACTACCACATGTTAATGCATACATGCACAAGAAATCTGAAAAAATTAGATTTGTTAAAAACTGACAAAGCGTATTTGCATAGGTGCCAAAAAAGAATTTTTTAAGATTATCCAATGAGACCAGGCGGTCATCATTCAAGGGTAAGATATAAAGGAGACAACTATTGCATATGAAAATTTTGGTTTGCCTACTTGTGCTGTCTGTACAGGTCAGTCTAAAGCAGTTGAAATGTATTTAGGCATTCAAAAGAACGTTCAACATTTCAGCTGCTTCTTTAACCCATGGCAAGTCATTCAGCTCTTGAAACCCGTCAAATTCAGGTTTCAGATAGTTTCGTTGCACAAAAAGAAACTTCACCACATAGAAGGAATGGTTCAAGTTTTACTTCGCCTCCTCAACTGGTGCTTTCATCCAGCTGCAAATATATTGCTTGTCCTTTATTCCTTTTGGAACATCCAGAAGTTCCATTACATGGTAACAAGAGCAATAAGGAATTTGGATTCAAACAGCACAAAGCACTTGCTAAGTGCCACTTCACAAGGTTAATGAGGTATCTGATATTAAGCCCCAAAGCCTAGAATCTAAACAGAGACCATTGGGATTCCTTTAAATGGAATGAGAATAATGAGGCATTTAATGGAATGAGAATAATGAGGCATTTAGGTTCAGACAGCCCCAAAAAAAAAAAGAGAACAAGAACAAGAAGTAATAGTAAAGGCAAACCAATAAAAGAAACTCAAGTTCAACTACTAACCAAAAATATTAGAGGAAGTCTAACATACGTGATTTTCTCGAAGACGGCTCATAAGGGAATCCAAAAATTTGATGATGCTATCCCACTGACTACTTGGAGACTGTTGAGGAACTCCTCCGGGTGATCGTGATAGTTTACCTCCATGTACTCTTTGATTTTTAGGAGCCTTTGGAATTGCAAAAAAATTTTACCAAGCAATTAGTACATATCCAATTAATACATCTGGTAAAATTCCCAAAACTATAACTAAACACTAGGAATAAAATATGCACAGTTGAAGCAAGAACTTTTAATTCAAAACTATGAAATCTTAACAAGCAAAAAGTTCTTTGCTTAAACGAGAACATCTGTGCTATCTTTAGAACAATGTGAACACTCTTCTAGTACAGAGCTAAATGATGGAAGTCTTTAGGCAATTAGTACACACAAGCAAAAAGGCCAAGCTAAATTCCAAACAATCCAAGTCAACAACATCTAAAGATATAGAAAGCAAATTCTACCATTTATACTATATTATAAGGATAATGAAAGGAAGCCAAAATCATAGTGGTGAAAGTCAACCATGCAAAAAGGAAAATTTTCCAGTTCTCACCTCGTTCTAACTCATGCAAGCATCACTTCAGCTTCAGAAATTGTCTTACTTGAAAATACATAAAGTTTTATTTTCTTCGTGTGATAGCCGGATGAAAGAAAAAATTAAAAAAGGCACAAAATTTATACTGAAATTTGGTAAAGATACTGAAGATGCGTTTTAAAGAAGATTCAGTAACCTAAACCAACAAAATCATTTCACAGCCATAACCGCAACCAAATCAGCTCAAACTTTAAAAGAAGTTTAAAAACATAGGAAATGGAATGCAACCAAGCACTTTTACAGTTTAAGTAAACCATATCAACAAAAATCTCTTTTTTTTTTTTGTTCTAAATCTTGGGCATGGGTTGTGTATGCGTGTCAGCGAGGGGAGGGAGGAACCCACCTGAATGCATAGACCCAGAAGAGGGGATATTTCTTTCTTCAGATTGTCACGTATCAACCCAAAAATCTTCTCCACACAGGCAGTTAACTGTTGTTTGAATAAAAGTGAAGGATATTTTGCTTCCACAAAAGATAAACCATCCTCCAATCCAATATATTTGAATGGTGATTTTGAAACCTGAAAAGGTGACATTCAAAATTAACCATAAGTACCACTCAAGCATAAAATCATAGAAAACACAAAGGTTTCACCGCCGTAAGCAGTTCACAGAATACAGCCAAGTGCAACACAACCAATCCTACCATAGAAGTTGGACTATGAAGCATAATAAAATCATAGAAAAGCACAAAGGTTTCACCGCTGTAAGTAGTTCACAGAACACAGCTAAGTGTAACACAGCCAATCCTACCATAGAAGTTGAACTATGAAGTATATGAAACATACGAGTCATGCCACATTTACTTGCACAACAAATCCAAGATAAATGGAAAGATACAATGAAAGAATAACAACAGGCAAACATGCAGACTCGGATAATAACAAGTAATTAGGTGCATTTTTCAAAGACATTAAGTGAATACGGTTCCCCATTAACACACCCAGAGGAACAAACAACTAAAGCAGGAAAGATTCACTTGCACAAAAAGTAAAGTACGTTATGCTACTATCAACCACCAAATATTGCTTAATACCAGTTATAACTTATGAGCTGCAGCACACCCACTCAGCGAATGGGACATTGTAGTTCACCAAAATGAGTACATATTAGTCAAAAGTAAACAGTAAATGACTGATCAATCTCATTGGATAACTTACATGTGTAACAGTGCCATTAAGCCCACTGGAACCAGGGGAACGGTGAGAATTTGCATTTAAGTATCCATTGGACCGCAAATTCTTTTGAAGAAGGCACAGAAGAGCGGATGCATTTGACAACCAGTAAGGCAAGGTTGTATCCTCATTCCCAACCTAAAACAGTAACAAAAGCATATAACTTATCCATAGCAAACTGGTTTAAACCTGTCCTGTACTACAGCGGAAAACCCATTTTCTCTTCAAGCAACAGCAAAAGCAATTGCTTCAAAGCTGCATTTTCGTTTTGGCTTGATCAGTAACAAATTGCAAGCATCAAGAGGAACCATTTAATATTATCTGCCTATTTGTTGACTTTGCAAATTGTTTGGCATTATAGTCAAAGGCATGAGAGGAACAGTACCGGGTTCAAAAGCGAAAATCACCTTTAGAACCTCATTGATTCCCTCAATGATAAAATCAAAAATCGAAGTCCTCTCAGATTCAAAGGCATGCCAATGGAGGAGGCATCTATAGATGACACAAGCAGCAACCGGCTTGCCATCTTTAAAACCCAAATTCTCTTTTATACACCTTGAAAGTATATCATAGTTCTCCTGCAGAAGACCTTTATCTTTAGAAGTAATGAGAAAAGCAAGAAAAGGCACTTGCTTCATGGATCAAGGTACATTTGGTTTTTTTTTTTTTAAAGCAACAGTAAGTTGTATTCATAAAATTCACAAATTAGTGCAAGGAAAGAAGAAAACCTGGTGCCTTTCAGTGGTCAATTTCGTGTAGCGAGAATCAGAAAACCCTTGTGATAGAGGAGCTATAATTTTTGACGGAGTAGGAGACTCCTAAGTCAAAAAAATTTAGTGTAAGTACATAGGAAAACAAACTGGAATGCACGATTTATCAGACAGTGCCAGAGATCCAATCTTACAAATGAAGGCTTCCGATCTGCAGAGGAAAGAGCAAGTGCTCCTGAAAATTTCTGTGGAGAAGAAATCAAGCTAATGATGAACAGTATTACCAAAGAAAAATCAGTTATTCAGCAGGCACATACAGCTGAGGTTAAGCCATTCCATTGTTCAAAGAATGCATTTTGGCAATGTGAAAACCAAACAAGAACAAAACAGTGTGAAGCATAATATAAACATATATGAACCATGACACAAATGGTTCTTACATCCAGAAAAGGCTTGACATAACCAGGACGGATGCTCTTTGGAGTTGCACTTATTGCTTTTTGTCGAAGTACATGGTTCTCATCTTCCAAATTTGAGAGCTTTTCTTCCAAACTAATCAAAAAAACAAAGATGATAAAAAATAGAAGAAGCAATTTCTAAAACGCTAAAAAAAAAAAAAGAAACACCCTGAGACAACAATTGAGTTTAACTTGAAGTTAAACGATAGCGAACAAAATACATGTAAGAAGCAGCTCCCTAGATTTTTGTAGTAGTTTACTGTATAAATGCGCACTTTCAAAAGCTTGCTATGAATAACAACGGGGAAAGAAAACTAATCCATCACATAATTCAAGAATATTACCAAGAATAACTTTTTGGTGGCTAGAATTAGCCCTGTTATGCAAACAAAACTCCCAGTTACCCCATTAAAAAGGTATCCAATATTCATAAAATTGCCAATTCATCAAGCAGACATGTTCCTAATAGATCCCCCTAACCTAAATGAAAAAATAATAATAATAATAAAGCCCCATATTGACATTTAGAGGCAACCTTTTATGATACTTCCAAGACCATCTGGAAGCAAGAGCTTAAGTGTTGGACTGTTCCTATCTCTTATTCTTTACAGTTACAATGAGGGTCATAACAGAATCAGAAAATTATACAATATGAAAGAGCACCTTCTTAGATTTTGTTGAAGTTCTGAACAGGTGAGCTCAACTTTTTCCAGCTTTTGAATAGTAGCACTGGTATCTTGTTTAGCCTTGACAAGCTCCTGCTCTAGTGCAGAGTTCTTCTCCTCCAAGGAAAGCAGAGAATTCTGCAGCAAGAACCAGAAATACACATGCATCAAGGTTCAAAATATGTAATGATGTTACAAACAAATCAAAAATTTGTCATACCAACTGGCAGAAATCAGAAAATTAGATGCATGACAATCTTCATGCATACTGTAATTTAGAAGGACAAATAGAAAGACAGAAAACGAAGAAGAAGAAATACTATTGAGCATTTCCTGACTTTTAAGAGTAGTCAAAATGCCAAAATCTATACCTAAAGATGTAGCGACACCACCTGGTAGATTGGTCATACCTAATGCAATACAAGAAGAAGAAAATCAGAAAAGTACCTTCAAAATCTCATTTTCATTCCTTAATTCAGAGAGAGCCACAACTTCTCTTTCCAAAGCAGATTTCTCCTTCATTGATAGTTCTAATTGCCTTTGAAGCACTGCACTCTTGTTGAACTCATTGACTGTAGCAAGTTTTGCAGCATCTAATTGAAGGCTTAACGATTCGACAGTCTTGTGAAGTTTTGATATCTCCCCCAACTTAGACTCTTCATTAGACACCTGAAATTTGCAGATTTTGTTTACATATATATAAAGAATAAAGTATCTCTTGAAGAATCTATATAATATAACCTGCAAATTATCAACCCCATTTTTGTCATTAGAAAGTTAGAATGTGTACTACTTTTGTCACAACCAGCTGAATACACTTCTAATGAGCTAAAACAAAGCAAGCATCATGTAAATCTGCTATACTGTCGCAAAAACAGAACCAATCATCTAAGTGAGTAAATCTGCTGATCAAAAATTGAATTTCACAGGGTCCTATTCTACAAAACATGCGCCACAGTTGCAATTTAGCTTATTGGTCTAAATGACTTACCATTACATGCACATAGAGAGCGTAATCAAGCAAGAGCAATCAACCTACAAAGTCAGTGATCTCAAGCACTAGACATTGTTATAGCAATAAGACAAACTTCAAACTTACATCAGCTTCTTCTTTTTGTTCACGGGGAAGGGGGGTGAAGGAGTAAAATATCTTGATACCCTATATTTATTCAACTTTAAAATGCCAGGCAAAATGTTTCAAAACCCTCACAAAATAACACACATTTTGCTTTGTAGATGTAACCTTCCCACAGGTAGCCTCCTACTCCAGGTGTCTCCTAGGAACAAGGTTAGCCAGAGTCGATAAAGCATCAAATTGAATTTCTTTATTACCAAAAACAAATCTAGATTTCTGTAGCAACACAAAAGCCAAGAAACTTTATTCAACACTTTGAAAGGTATTCTTACAAATCCAAGAACTCCAACACATACAACATAATATACAAATTAAAAATTAGTACCCGTAATTTTTTTTCCAAGTGCAATCGCCAAGTAAGATCTTCTAACTGCTTCTCAAGTTTGGTCTTTGCTACACGCAAGGCACCAGCTTCATTAGCCTCCTGCACACAGAAAAATAGGATAAATCAACAAAAGGATGATTCTCAACGAAATAACAAGCAAAATTTATTACAACAAACCAATACAGGCAAAACAATAGATGCTAAAAGGTCCGGCAGATGCAAACTACTAGAGATGCCAAGACGTCTGAGACACTTCATTACCCAAAACAATTTACATCAAATCTATTTTTGTAATCCTTATCAATATTCTCAAAAAATTGATTGTCTGCAATTAGCACATTTATAAAAATATAAATTCAAATAGCAAATATTTGTCATCACTTTAATCGCAACCATTAACATACCATCCTATAGCAAGGATGCATAGTGTTTGTGGCATTTCATATGGTTTAAGCAACACAAAAACACTACAATGCATGCAGCCCTCAATTTTCACCTAGGATATTTATGAAAAATGCTTTTCCAAGTCATCATTTCCAAGCTAGAGGACAAGACTCTCATTTACATCTAGACCAATTTTCTGCATCCCCCTCTCTCAACAAGGATGCTACACTTTTCAGTGACATTGAAGAACCAGGTACTGGTGAGCATAGAATCTAGCTTTCATGAACTAGTCAATAATATCAGTTCAAATTGCATATAAAGGAAATTTTCCCGAAATCACTTCTCAAATGTAGTTCCCCAAGAAAAGATAAAGATTCAATAACCCTGAGAAATACACTCCTATTTTTTTTCCTGGTTTTGTCTTAACACAGGATATGACACTTCCAACAAAAATTGTGAAATAATATCACTTGTATTCTGTGAAATCAGTTCCCAATGCTTGGATGCATATCACAAAGAATAATTTAGTACCTTAGTATCTGGAAGCAAACAAATTTAGCCCCCTTCATGCAGATAATCGCATTCACCATGCACAAAGCATAGGTTATCAAATATACACACTTTTAGGCATTTTCTTACTATTTGCTTTCTTCTTATTAAGACCACTATTAGTCTTAGGGTGCATTTGATAAAAACTGAAGTCTGAAATCTAAAATCTGAAGTCTGAATTCATTAAGTTATTGAATTGTTAAGTATTGAATCTAATACAATTAAGTGCATATCACATTCAGTGATAAGTGAATAGCTTATCACTTAATTTTGGGAGCAAGTTGTCTAAAAAATTCAATGAGTTTGTTTGGATAGAGAGAATTTGGAAAAAAAAAAATTTGCCTCACAAATCCCAATCACCTTTTTATCTCACACACATCACATCACAAAAAGTGCTACAGTAAATATCTCAAATAAATCATCTAAATAAACTCTTATCCAAACAAACTCAATGTCACTTAATTAATTCAGATGTTCAATTTTTTGTTATCAAACGGTCTACATATGTTAAAATCTGAATCAATTAAGTTTAAGTACTGAATTGGGTTATCAAACACAGCCTTAGTGTGCAAAACGAGTCAATATACCAACAAAATCTGTCCAACACAAATCTAATCTTAGTTTGAACTAATATTCAACACAATGAATGAAGTCAAGGAACACTCAAAATCCGCACTAGAAACTCAAAATCCGATGTTGTCTGAAATAAGTGAGTCCAGACAATATATAACCAGTTTGGCTTTAAACCAGTGGCTGGAGAGATTACTTATGTTCATATCCTATTTTCACCAAACTGGAAAATTGCATCAAATATAGTAAGGAAAGAAAAGAGGACCCACAAAGGAACTCCCACAGTGGTTAGCTCAACAGAACAAGAAAATTACTAGCACACCACAAGATACATGTTTCTAATCTGATAAATAACGTAAACAGCAAAAGCAATTCAACAATGAGAATTACTTGAATGCTAACCATCCTTTATCCTGAATGACATTCACAATGTGTCTTGCCAAGTCCAATAAATAAACAAAAAATAAGGTGTGTGGAACAGGCATTAATGCACAACAAAGGTCTCAAAACAGACAAGCGTGCTATAAGCATCAATAATGCATTGGTCACCTGTTTAAGCCTTCTAAATTCTCTTTTAGCCATCTTTTGCCTCCAAAGACATTGTATAGCAATAATATTAGATTGCCGATGACAGTAAGCAGAGCGAATCTTACACATCCTCCAAAAAGCCTGTGAGATAACAAGACAACAGTTCAGAATGTACTTGCAATTGTAATGCCAACTAATAAGACAACGCACGCAGGATCAGGATACAAACACAAGGAGACCAAAGTAAAAGGGAATTTTAGGGCTTTAGAACATGTGAGGTATTCGTTTCTCCTTCTCCTCCTCCTCCTCCTGGTACCAAAAATTCACTAGCTGAGGTTACCCCATCCCAAGGCCAAGGCATGCCATCAGCCCCACAGGGGCTTATGGTGGTTCTTCCAGATTGCCTACAGACCAGGGTCCACTAGCAGCTGGATTTGACCTAAAGCTTCTCTCAGCAAAGGCATTGTGATGTCACCAGTTGAGGCAACCCTCATTGGTTCAGTTAAGTATTGATTGTGCACTATTATGGCACACATCTGATGCTTCTATGTGTTTTCACATTGTAAAGAATTTAACAGGGATTTACTCACCCAGCAGTCAATAATTTGAGAGGTTACAGCATAACTAGCAAGTTCAGCAGGAAAAAAATCCAAGAAAGACTTTCATACACCAAAGGAGAAAAATAAAGAACTTCTTCAGCATCCATGACAATCTCAACAACTCTATGATGCATGCTCATAGTGGGCTTAAAAGTATCATAATCTCCCATCATCCAAGAATATCTTGCTTCTATGGTTCCTCGTCTGTCCACTTTCCACCAAAATGGGACAACATACTCTTTCCCAATACATACTTTACGCACCAAAAAATGCAACTGTCCAACATTAGGCTGCACAAATTATTTAAATCTCTTCATACTACTAAGAATTTCAACCATCTCACAATACTTGTGCCCAACCAAACATACATTTAATTTGTGAAAGAGAGCATGATTTCTTGTTCTTTAAATGAATCACTACTATACACTTTCACTGAGGCAAGAAGTAGATTGTATTGAATTCAGTCCACTTCCAAGAAATGTAGCTCGTGAATGTGTTACTAACATCACAACATGAACGAAACAAAGCTGCCAAGTACTTCAACTTACACATCCATATTCCAAATGTTTCAAAGAAAACTACAAAAAGAAATATGGCAAGGTACAATTCTCTACCTGAATTATAGAAGCAGCTCTGTGCTCCTTCCTGTACAAAAACTTTTGCCGTGCAGAGAAACCACGGATGCTAGACTGTACGAATACAATTGACATGTAAAGCTGAACATAGGCATGCCTGAACAACCATCTCCGGGCATATTTCTGTATGACAATAGCAGCTGTTTCCTCTCTTATTGAAGTATACAGTTTTCGAGCAAGATGACCTGCAAAATATAAGCACCGTACTCAAGTGCTGCTTCTTGGGATAAACATAAAAGCAACACATAAAAGATTCTCTCATAAAACCATAAAAAATTTTCAATAAAGACTTTGTTGTCAAACCATTAAAAATTTTCAATAAACCATAAATAATGGATTGAAAGTCATGAATAAGATTCAGTATACAACACAAAGATGCTACTTGGTAAAGCACGTGAGCAGATTTCCAATCCTTTAAATAATTTAATTTTTTTTTATTTTTCTCCTATATGAAATAAACTCCTAAAAGAGTAACCTAGTGGAAAAAGACAAACATTGTATTTAAGATGATGCAGGAGATCAGCGCTTAAGCACAACAGTCTGCTAATATCTTTACACCATTTTCTTTATTAAATGGGAAAAAAAAAACTTAATCGTTTCCTTCATTATTATTTGTTTACAAAGGTTAGTCAACTTTGCAGATTAAATTATGTGGGATTAGTTACCACGATTAGTCCTGCATTTACTAGGCCATAACAGAAATTCAATCATGTTTTGTTAGTTATGTCTCATTAATAATTTTGTAAAGAGAAATTAAACAGCTGATAAATTTATTTAAGCATCTAAATGGAGTTCGTGTTGTTGCCAGGAAGATCAAGGAAGATGCGAAGAGGATAACACAAATAAAAGCTAGTGATATAGTTGATATAGCGCAAGTCCCTTTTACAGGAGCAGCTGCAGCTTTTCATGGATATAGTTGAGGAGACAATGACCTCTACAGCATGCTTGTAATGAAATTGCAGCTGACTGGTGCAAGAGAAAATCCCGGCGTGCAAAAAACGTCCGCAATCTACCCTGAATACACTTTGCAGCAGAATCTAAAACCTCTGCACGACGCGAGTCTAAGACACCAATTTGACCAGCTCGGAGGAAAACTTTGGTCTTTCCCAACTGAGAAAGAGAAACCCAACGATATATATTTCTATTCAATTGAGTAGGAAACCACTAGGTATAACTTCAAACAAGTCAAAGCCAACCTGAAAGTTCCTGAGATTTAGTCTTTGTAGTATTTTCTCAGTCATAGTTTTCTCATCATACCTGTAAGCAGATACCAAAGGATATTGGTGAAATCCACTGAAATCTCCCTATAGACCATAGGATCAAGAAGCCAAAGTACGAGTCAATGTACTATCTCCTCTATGCCATACAGTTTAACAAAAGTCAAAATCAAGCCAGCAAATGTATCAGATTAACGAAGGAAAATGATCCATTCAAAGTAGATATTTCACTGTCCAAGTACAGAAGACATTGTAAGCCAACAAGAGAAAACCTAACCGCCCAAAATGAATGAAAGGCAAAGAACCGAAACCCACGAAAAGAAAATAGGCTCTTCAGTCATTGGATCGTGATTGTTCATTAGTGAAATTAACTTTAAGACAGGGAATCACATTAAGTTTCATAAACCGACAGATAAACCCACAGACAAAGGAGAATTCAGAAGAGTGACCAAGGAAAGGGAGTATTAGAAGAGGTAAAAAGTGCAAACCCACAGAGAACCACACTGAAACCAATGAAAACATTTGGGTAGGTTTAAAAAGCAACAACAGACAAAGTTCAACTGAGAAGCAATGCATTTAACGGAAAATGGACATATGAGGAGAACATTAGGTGAAAGCTCCAGATTTGGCCTACACCAAATGCATTCAGAAAGTTCAACAAACGTTTACTAACTCACCGTCCATCCATCATGTCCAAGGCTATAATACCAAATCGATCAACAAACTCATTATAGGTCTTCCGAGAGGGGTAACCTGCCAAACTTATGCGAACAGCTTCTAATACACCCTGCACAATATCAGGATATCAAATATATGAGACCTCAAAATAGCACACAGTTTTACTTATATAAACTCTTTCTACAGAAGAAAATAATTGTCTTTTCTTCAACCCCTAAACACTTTGCAGTAAATGAACAACTATTGACATGTAGGATCTAGCACCTACCAACCAAAATTGACTAGAAACTTGGTGGATCAGAAATTTTATATCAAAAGAACAAGTACTGATTTAACTTCTGGTTTTGTATTATTGTCAAATGGTTGATGCTTTTCTCTAACAATTCCCTTTACAGCAACCAACAAGAATGTATCTTTATTTTCTCAGCATCAAGGTTGCAATTATCCTAAAAGCCCACTCTTTAGATACTTGAAACATCCAACTGAATTGATCATGTTCAGTGAATTGGGCAGGAGCATAATCTCCAGACCAATTGACTGTATAATAACAAGAGCACATGAGGCTCAAATTTGATACAGTGAGAGTTGACAAAGTTATTGCATCCAGACAAAGCAGCAGTGCAGTGAAAATAATTTGATAATTAATGATACCTCCTCAACAAAGAAAGCAACATGAAAGCAAAATACTAGATGCTGGCAAAGTGCATGTGTGTGACATGAATGAAAATAAACATTAGTATGAGGAATGGAACAATCAAAATTGTGATGCAACAACACAACATAAAATAAACAATAGTAATATGGGATGAAAAAACAAGAATCATGATTCAACAGCCAAACATGGCAGAACCTAATCAACTTCAAAATCAAGAGATAATGATACTTAATTTGAACAGCAAAAACAAATATACAAAATCAAGAGAATGGAATGATACTTAATTTGAAACTTCAAATAGACAAACTTATAAGCAACTAAAAAATACAGATAATACTGACCCCACAGCGTAACTGGTGTAAGATGCTTTGATTCTCAAACTTCTGGGGCCGATTTAAAGAGTTTGGCTTGACGCAGCGGATATAGTGAGGCTCCGTAGAACTAAGGATCTCCATAAGAGATTGAAGTTGTTGCTACATGCAAAAAAGAACATAAATATTTGTGCTTATGCTTAACACTTCTGTCAGCAATCACTTCAGACAAGATGATAGATCCAAAAGAATAACCAACAAAGAAAGAAAATGATACATTCACTAGAAAATTAACAGCGCTTAACCAAAAAAACTACAGAAGCTCACTCAATAAACCAGCCTAAATGAGAACAGTAATCAACTGCAGCATGTAAATGGACCCACCCATAAGATCTATGACATTAATAAAGCATCAATGCACCTTCCTTGAATGATGCCCCACCTACCCAATCTAATTTTATTTTAGGTGACCAAGGAAGGATATAGATGACAACTGCTCCCTCAACATAACCAGTCCCAACAGACCATTTCGAAAGTAAAGTGCATTAGATACTTCTCTCTGCTACTTTTCATTCAGCGCCTTCTCAAAATCCATTTACATGGTTGAAGGCCCATAATCAAAATGATTGTCTCTGAAAATCTAAAGAAATCAATACATCTTAGTCCTTAGATGTGCTTACTCGTCCACCATAACCATACTCCCTTCAAGTCTTCATGTTCCAAAATCCACATAACCCTTACCATACTTACGTTGGTAAAGACAAGGTTTTCGAGTATTTGGAACAGTAGAAAATTCATACCTTAAACCGAGAGGCCACTGAAGAAAATTTATATGAAGATCTAGAAAACTCTTCTGCAGATGAAGGAAAGAGACCAGCGATGAAGGGACATTTTGAAGAAGATAAGAGATTGCAGTGCTCAACTACCACATAATCACGATTTTTATCTAAGAATGTTTCTGTCTGATATGAGACCTGCAGATAGAACAAACATTAAAAGAATTCCCAGTTTCACAATAATAAAACTCAATTCACTTTCAAGCAGTCTCTAAGACATCAACATGCCTTGCCAGCATAGTGGGAAATGGTGAAATCTGTTTCAGAAAACTTGGCCTTCTCCAACCGTGGATGGGTCGGGAAATTCCGGAATAATTTGTTCGAAAATGTTCCATGAGTTGATTTAGGGAACATGCTGCAAGGGTAGGAAATCAGGATGAGGACAAGCAGCAGCAAATGATTCCCGAAAGAGTAATACGCACCAATTGACATATAAGATATATTAATACCAAGCTTCATCCAGAAGTGCAATTATCCCAATGGGCTTCTGCAAAGGGCAGGTTAAAAAAGGCATGAAAACAAAGGAAAACAGCAAGTAAAATGCATTTGATAGCAAAACGTCAAGGCAAACTAGATGTAATTTTAAATCTTGCACTAAATGCATTTATACTGAAAAACTGTATATAGGTAAGAATTATCAAAAGGAAAGGCGCCCCAAGGACAAAACTCCTTGTAAATGTTGCATGGATCAACTAGGACATTGAGACAGATGCAAGTGTGAAATATGTTTAAAGAAACAAGAAAAATTAGATTCAGATTTCCAACTACATTTCTAAAGAATTGCTGGACTGATCCAATTATCTCATTCCAGCACATGCTATCTGCTCAATAATACTCGGAGCTTAATCATGCAATTAGGGGGAGCTAAGAAAAAACCTTCTCAATCAGATCCAGGACATCTTGGTTGTCTATAAATTCAATGTAACTCCAATTTATTTCTTCTTTATGATATTCCTCCTGCTCCATCTTGAACACATGCTGGAGAAGTGCAACAAAGTGAGAAGAAAACTTCATTCCAAAATGAAAAGGCAATCCAAAATATAAAAAACAACACAATGTCATAAAAACTTCATGCCGCACCTCATTGAAATGTTGTTGAAGCTTTTCATTTGCAAAATTAATGCAGAATTGCTCAAAACTGTTGAATAGAGTTTCCAACGATTCATTAGTCACAACATATGCAAATCAATGTCAGTTGTCAAGCTCCTTTAAGACATGAAAAAGAGTGAGCTTTTCACAATAAAGCCTAGCACTACCTTGTCCATGGAAAGAGTCTCAAACTTCCCCAAAAAATAACAAAGAGAAGAGGATAAATTGATCAGGACAAACACACTGCCTCAATAGTGCAACTCCAGAAGGACTTGGACTAAGTAATGTAGACATCAACACATGGAGCAATTGACAGCTAAATACGTCCAAAAATAATTTTTTACTGAGAAACAGGTAGTTTGCAAAAGTCAGTTTATTTGAGAATCCTAGGGGGCAGTCAGCAAATGGATCAGCTACTTCAGATTCATGGTGACATGGGTATTTTATGGACAGTAAAGCTAACAGAATCTTTAAGTCAATTATAGCTACATGGCATCCTGAACCTAACTGAATTAATTTTTTATGAGTAAATGCTAGTTTGCAAAAGTCAGTTCACATGAGAATCCTAAAGGGCAATGATAAACGGAGCAGCCACTTCAGATTCATGATAACGTGGATATTTGAAGACAATAAAGCTAACAAATACTTTAAGTAAATTATAGCTACATGGCATCCTGAACCTAACTATTTATCCGATGAAATATAAGCAGGCTTTCTTGTCCAAGAAAAAACCAATTCTGCAAATTTCTCTATTTGACTTTCTGATTTGTTTCCCTGGCACAATGGAATAAAAATATGAATGAGAAGCCATGACAATGGACCTGTTATGTTTGAAGCATTCAAATCCGTATATGTCCAAAACTCCTATTTTTATCCTTGAATCATGATCTTGTCCAACGGATCGATTGATCTTTTCAACAAGCCTGAAAAGACACAAGGAGTGCAGTCTCAATGCCAAACAATTTAGTTCAATATAACAAAACCACTATTTACATAAAACGCCAGAAAATGCCAGCACCAATCAAATAGCCGAGCATAGATAGTTTTTGCCAAAGCATCCCGACCAGCTGTGGCTGCATTGCAGTCAAGAGCTTTAATGATGACTCCTTCAAGAGTTTGTATTGAGCGCGTGCAGAGGGTAGCCAGCAAAAGATTCACATCACACCTAACAAAACAGTCATCAAGATTCACATCACAGAACAGTCATCAAGATTATCAGAAAATTCATTGTTGAACAGCACCACGAACTAAAATTGTTTGTGCACATGAGATGACAACAAAAAACTAACAGATCTAGATTCAAAACTCAGAAATGATTAAACAGTAACATTATACGAATACATGAGGCAAACAAATAAATAACACTAAGAAATGAAAATGGAAATTCATTCAGATAAAGAGGTTAAGCGACTCATTTTCCATGTTGATGCAAGAACATGCCCACTTAAGATAATGGTTCACAGTCAATGTCCTCATTCCAAGCACATTTGCAATTCAGGCTCAGAGAAGATCAATAGAGAAAGACTACACAGATTGCATATTTGTTGCTTAGCTGTTTGAACTTATTTGTTTAGTTGTTTGAACCAGTAAGTTCCACCCTTCACTTGTAACCTAAAAACGAATTGAGAGAGAGACAAGGCAGAATAAGGATTTCACTTGATTCAGCAAACATGTTGCTAGATTTTAAAAAGAATAAAAATTGTATGGTCTAGGCCTTCAGGCTATAACACCAAAACTTTTTATGTAGTTTGAACGAATTAAGGCAAACCAGAGCAACAAGAGACGAAATTAAAGGTACCTTTCGAAAAACTAAGTTTCAATGATGAACTCACAGCTACGAGAAAAGGGGAAGACCTATTTACTCAAGGAAATGAAAGTCCAAAAGCTGAAGATGCAAGCTACTGAAGAAGTTGAAGACAGTAGAGAATCCAAATTCTATTCCAACCAACTAACCTGAGTATTTAATAAAATTGCTCAAAAATAAAAAATGTGATGTTTGCTTATCTAACTCAAAAGCATATGAAATAATAAGCAAAAGAAACAACACAACCCACAGATATTAGGAATTGTCCAGTAGCAAACAGTTTCCAAATCAATCCGAGAGAAGGAAGCATTGATTGGAAAAACCAATCAGCAAAGGCAAAGGAAGAGGTATTTTGGAACAAGGAGACTAAATCATCGAGTCGCAATCCTTACATAAGAAGGTTTGAGGCCATCTGCAAATGGAAGTCAGACTTTTGATCCTTTATAGTTGATGAATCATGCTCTTTACCAGGAGAAAAATCTACATTTCCAAGATGCAGTATGGCAGCCAATGTCCGAAATATTGCTTCCTGATGAAGGAATGAACCACTTAAAACACATAATCAGAATATTCTTTAAAACCACACTAAAATGGACCTAAGATTCCTCATATCAACTTAACTATTTTTGGAATACCTGTTCCTCAGAGCTAATGCCAACAATGTCCATTGCCCTTCTTGTTTTGACGTATTCCTCAGCATTGCTCACGCCATCCAATTCATAAATCTTGCTTTGATTCAGGTAGTGGAAGGTACTTGGATGGCCAAGTTTGTACTTCTCTGCATCCTGCAAACAAAACATTGTAAAAATGGCCTAATAAGACTCCTTTTATACAACTTTGTACAACCATAATGGCTCAAGAAACATAAAACAAGGATAAAAACAATGAGAATTCTTAACATCTGGATCCAAAATTCCTTTAGTATGCCATTCTATAAATGTATAACACAAAAATGTGCTTATACTTGGATCAAGAATCACGAATGCCTGAAGGTCAGACTCACAAGTGAGGTAACAGAAACAAGAGAAACCAAATTGAAAACATTTGTCCTTTAATTGTCACAAATCCTCCAGGAGGTTTCATTGCATTCCCAACAATGAGCAGTTCTACATTACACATGTTGGATAGGACAAGGATAAGGAGGTTGTAGAATCACGGTCTTAAAGCAAGAAACAATTATTATGCATTTCAAATCAGACCATCATATAAGATCTAAGTCCATTGTGATAACACCTAATTTGTAGAGGGACATGGCTAAGAACGTAAAATTTGGAATCAATAATGTCTTAGACCCAAACAGGAGTTGAGGTTCAATAATAACCTGCACCCACATAAGGTTCTTACAGCCATCAATGAGAGTCGATGAAAAACATGAGGGCGAAAAAAAAAAGTGCAGGAGAGACTTATTTCCTATCATGTATATGCCAGCATTTCCTGCAGGTAACATTTTCATATGCAAAATTTGCAGGTTTATGATGGAAAGTTAGATTGCACTCCTATGACTTTCATAACGAACAATCAGCTACCTGTGATCCTTCAAAGTCTTTTCTCGTAAAACAAACACGAGAATGTAAATGCTAGATTTCTTTTACTTAATTTTCTTGTGAAACATCATCTTGCTCTACTCAATATTGTAGAACATAAACCTTTCTTGATATTTGAAAGGACCATAAATGTTGGCCAAGTAGGAAATGCCTTATTCAAGTAGGAGCTATATAAATATTCCTTTCTTATGGCAGGAAAATGTTTGTGGGTTCCCAAATGACAGAAGAAGCCGAAATATAAAGAATACCTCAACCCTGTCTAGGACAAATATGCTGGTTAATGCATAAAATTTCATTCTACTTTGACAAGCCAAATGAACACAGAATCAATATGCTTATTTTCTAGAGCTTAATTCCGGATTAACTTTAGTAGGTTAAGATTCTTGATCAAGGCACAACTAGAGATTAAGACAAGCACAACTAGCACATAGCACACCGTTCCAGCATACCTATTTCCTTGAATGCAACGTTTTGCAGCCACTTGCTAGTTTGTAAGTAAAAAATTATATTTCATATCTAGCACATATATCAAAGAGCCCCTGCACATTTGTGAAATAATAAATCTGTCCTTAGTAATAAATCTGTCCTTAGTTATTGGAGAGTTGGAATGAACACACATAAGTCATAACCAATTATAGCCATATTAGGTGAGATCCCACGTGTCTGCTACCAAACCCGCTCCAGCAGCAATCTAACAATTAATAAAAAAAAAAATTCATCATTTGGACAATTACTAAAAGTTAGTTAGAAAATGAACCCAAAAATAAGCAAAGTTCATAGACACACTAGGAAGCTTACACAGACTAAGACACACTAGTTAGTAGCGAGCTAAAGGTATTCATTGGGATGAAGTTCAAGTTTTCACTAAGGCATCTACCAAGAAAAGAAATCTTCTGTTGGTATCCTAACCAATGATGATCTACAAGACTGTCCAACGAATTCCTTTGACAAACTTAGCCAGGTTATCTCTAAGGCAAAAATGATAATTATATCACAAAATGAGAATCCTCATCCCCTGCACTTGCAGCATCATATTACTAGTGACATGATAGAGTAAGCATTAATCTTTAGGACAAATGATGAGCTCTTCGGAAAACTAACACAGAAATTGTAAGTCAAGTATGTTTCATGCATAGCAAGTTCTATGGATAAAGAGTCTACCAATCCAGAAGCACACAACTGGTAGAAGCAGTGGTAATTTCTTTCAGGATCTGTTATTTGAACAACACGTGATCGCTCCAGAAGGTACGTTCTAATTGCAGCACCAGATATTCTACCACTTGCATCAAACTGGATCTCAACAAACTTCCCAAAGCGACTGCAGCGAATAAGCAGAATAAACATTGAGCATGACTCCCCTGACAAGAATGGTAAAAAGGAAAGAGCGGACAGTTCAACAACCATAACAGCATCATACTTGAAATGCTGGCACTATTCTTGCCATTACATGAAGATAAACAACCTACAGCAAAGAAATAGGCCAAGATAAATGTCACAGCACTAGCACCGTGCTAGTACTGCTAGTACGGTGATACGGCATATGCAGAATCTTCGTTTTAAATTGCAAGGAACACTAAACAGAATATACTTCATATGGACTTCAATACGCAGAGCCGCCAGAACATTTGTTTAGTTGACAGTTTTTAGTACTTTTGAATCATCAATGTGATGCAAAGCAGGAAATGAAACACTGCTCTAGAACCAATGATGATGCTCCTATTCAAATTCCACGTTGAACAGATATGTACATGTTCAGTACATCCACAACTATTAAATTAAAAGAAAATCAGCATAGCAAAATCCATGCTGCACATCCTAATATCAGACAAGAAGAATCAAAGACGATTCAGTTTTTACAACTGAGAGACATTGTCTCAGCCATGCTGTACATTCAACCATTCAAGACTTGCAAGATAAAGGACTCAGACAAACCTTGAATTATCATTTCTCACAGTCCGAGCATTACCAAATGCCTCCAGCAAGGGGTTTGACTGCAACAAGAACCAAAGAGAAAATATCAGCCAAAAAGTAGTTTCATTTGAAGGCAGTTTCATTTGAAGGCTATCCACTTCCCTCCTAAAACTTTCAAAACGGGATATTAAATAGAATATTCTTTCAAGCCAAAATCCCCTTAACACTGACTAATTTTCTTTACTTACCTCAAGAACTTGCTGTTCAACAGTTCTGTCATCTCCAGCTGCACGACCACCAACATAAGTAAGATACTGCATAATTAGTTTTGTTGTTTCAGTTTTTCCAGCACCACTTTCACCACTAACTAATATGGACTGGCTTCTACCCTCCCTCATCATTGCCCTGATCAACAAGGTTAAAAGAAACATGAACCACATCATTTTGGCAGCAAGCACAGCTAATGTTACAAACTGCAACATATTTGATCAAACTTCACAAACCTATAAGATGCATCTGCCACAGCAAACACATGCGGACTCAGCTCGCCAAATGGAGCCCCTTTGTACTGTTCCATCATGTGTAGGTTATACAGATGAGGAAGCTTTGTGAATGGATTGACAGCAATAAGAATGCTTCCAGTGTAGGTCTAGTGTAGGCAAATAACACAAAAATTCAAAAGCCATGGAAGAATGTCAGTTAAGCATTTCAGGAATATCAAATTCAAAAAGTACAAAATGACAATCTCCTGTTAATTGACAATGGAAAAAATATTTAGGCAGTTACCAGTTGGTAACTGCACAAGGAGACATTACAAAACATGGTGATCCTTGAAAGGAATCTAATGCTGTAGCCTTCCAATCTAATGAGAAGTATCCAGGTATATGTGTGTGTGTGTATGTTACACATTCACAGTTACTTTCTATTAATCTCAGGCTTATCATGTTTTAGCTAGCACAGGTCCTAAAGATCTCGGTTAGTTAACCAGATGCTACTATGCTGAATCTAATGAAAGTAGCAAATGCAAAGTATCTTGAACGAAAGAAGAATTTAGCTTGTGATGACAATAAACCATCTAAAGATTTTAAGCTTTTTATTTTTATTTTTTTGTCCAAAAGCCACCTTTTCAGCTCTAATTTACCATGAAAGTACATGTTAAACTGCCCTTCATCCCCATCTTTATATTGGCACATACTACTAGACACTTAAACGTTACTTTTGAAGCAACCAGTATATATGTCTTCTCACCCACATTGGACAGCAATAGGACTTAGATATAGGTTCAATTCTCTTCTTTCTAACATTAGGAAGTAAAAAGGTTGATGCAATTAATTTTTTTTATTCCTTTATAACAAAGAAAGAAAAAAGGCATTGACTAGAAGAAAAACTCAACTCCAGAAGTTAGCTATCCACCATTCTCAGGAAAGCATAATAGTATCAAAGATTTCTAATCCTCATGTTCTTGAACTCCATGTGCAGCCTATAGACGTTTAATGCCACTCAAATAAGAACCTTTTACACCCTTGGGGTGCAACCCTATCCATTTTCTCTACAACCATGTATTTGAAACTCAAACTCAAGAATAAATTGAACAAAGTACAACAGTTAACTTGAAGCATTTTAGTGAAGGTTGTTATTGCATAATGTTGTTTGTTTCCTGAGTAACTTGTTTTTGGCGATAGGTTGGTCAAACTGAGATTCTTTGTGGATAAATTGATGATCAAATTTAAGTAATGGAACCATTGGCATGAGCTAAAATAAACTTAACCCTTGATGATCTTCTCCCTCAAGCTTACTCTGCACTGAACTCCAAGAAAGCACGTAATCTATCTTATGTACAAATATGACAAGAATATTGATTGTCAAATGATGGCACCAATAGTTTTCTCCTTGTCATAGTGGACAACTCATTTTCCCTAACATTCAAGACCTTTTCAGAAATAAGCAGCAGATTCACTGAAAAGGACATTAATCTGTATAACAAAATTTCACAGTTCCCCATTGGCCACCAATGCACAATATGGAGCTGACTGAAACAAAAAGCACCATCTGTTGAAAAGGCAAGTCAACAATCCTAACAACTGATGGATTACCAGCTTATTTGGCTAGTAAATTAACTAAGTTTTTTCCTCGTGTCCATTTATTTCTGTCGGAAACATTGTCAGATAGTAAAGTTAGGATCTTCACAGAAACTCGCGTGCTTCTTTAATGCACATTTTTAGATTTCTGCATTGTCCGGCTTTTTTTCCAATTATCTGTCAACATAATTCTCATGTTGTTCTCATAGGTCTCTCTTTTTTATATTTTAATTTTCTCCATCTTCACCTTCATACAGAAGCCAGAAGCAGAACAATTCCGCACACTAAATATACCCACTCATTCCAAATCTGACCCAGCACAATTATTTCTCCAGCAGATACGTTTTGCAGTTTCTTAAACAACTTTCACTGCCTTCAACCTCAAGTTTACTGCTTGCTCATAACAAATTAACCATTTTTTACTCACTCACACATTTCTAGAGAAGAACTAATACTAATTATTAAAATCCAAACTCACGTAAATTTCATTAAGTCCATATCTCCTCTGAAGATTATCAAGCACTCCAGGCTCATTCAAGTACGTCAACTTCGTCATATCATCCACTCCTCCGTGGTCCGCTTCCGCATCCCTAGGATGCAGCTTCTCCGGCAACGCCAATACCTACATAAACACAACCCAAAACAAACAAAACAGCCCAAACTTAATCAAAATTTGAGCAATTCCTCCACATGTTCAATCAAAATTCAGCAAAAAAAAAAAAAGAACAAATTCCTTCAAAAATCTTACCTTTTTACCATTCTGAGTGAGAACTTGGACTTGTTTACCTATAAAATCGGTCACTTCAGCTGCGACCCAAGCTGAGTCTCTGTCTTCCACCCAAACCTTGGAGCCTTTCCGCAAAGTCATCTTCCCTGTCTCCTTCGTCTTGCTAGAGCATCAAATTGTTTGAAAACTGAAAATCTTTGAAGAAATTTAAATACTAAACTTTTTGAATTTTGAACAAATAAGCCCTAGAGAGATAAAGAAACAAACTGACAGAGCGAGAGCGGAGAGATGTTACGTGCACATTTTTCACTTCCCGCCCTAACCAAAATGTACAACTCAATAGAATAATACTCCACAACTAGTACTAAATCTGAATATCTGCTCCCATGTGCCAATTTGAATATGACTTTGGTTTGATCATATTATGAATTTGTTTGGAGAGTGTGTATTATTTGAAATATTATTTAGAATAATTATTATAATATTTTTTTAATATGATATATATGAAATAAAAAAATAAATTAAAAAATATATTTATAATGCAAATAAATTGAAAAAATCTGATATCCAAACACTCCCTACTAGTAGTACTAAATTCTGTCCCTCCAACTCCAATATTTGTTGGGTATTTTGTGTGATAGAGTGTAAATTTATAAGTTTATCATGATAGAATCTAAAATTTTAATTAATTTATTTAGAAGATTGATTTATTATCTTATATCTTATACACACTAATAGAATTTATTATTTGATAGAATATTTTATATGCATTAACAGTGTATACAATATTATGGTTGGATGCATGACATACATGTAAAATTTGGTTTTTAAATTCAAATTTGAATTATTTATCATGCATCCAATAATGAAAGTATATACATTATCCAGTATACGGAAGATTCACTTATTTATTTAATAACTTGTGTTACTCAAGTGTAGAATAATAAAAATTTTCGTGTGTTGGATAACTATCAAGTACTTACATTTAAAAAAAAATGTTTAGATAAGGGATTATTTGGAAAATTTTTCAAATAATACTTTTTCGTAATGTGATACGTGTGACATAAAATGTAATTATAAATATGTTTATAATGTAAATTCTTTTTTTTTTTGGGTAAATAATCACCTATCCAAACAACCCTCTTGGTCCAATAAAAATTTTCGAGTGATGTTTCAAATAAAAAATTTTGAGCAACATTTTAGAATCACCGAAGAAATGATATGCTTGATTAGGCTTCTTTTTTTTTATTTTTTAGAATGATTAGGCTTGTACATATGTTTTTTTTTATATATAAAATATCATAATTTCATTAAAATCTACCCTAATGACAGAAATTAGTGCATCAAACCTACACAGAAATACAAATAAAATACATGCATGCTTATGAACTTACAAGGATTTTGCTTCGTGTGGACATGGTATGTAGTACGTGGGTGACACGTCAAATAAGACTAGTTAAATAGCTTAGCTGTTAAGTCTTGGTTTGACTAAGACTACTTACTGTTAACTGATTGCTGTGTTTTGCTCGCTAATCACTAGGTAATTATTGCTTTAAGCTTCAGCTACGGCTGTAAAAGGATTATTGTACTATTTAATTGTATAGATTAGAGTGCCAGGTTTCACCTCATAATTTCTCAGCTTTTCCCGTAATCCAAATGCTTTTTCTTAAGTTTTGTTAATCCACATCAACTTCTTAAATCGGTACTACAATTTAATAGTTTCACATGATTGGACGCTGCATTTGAATTGAGGAATTTGATAAATAATTTGAAATCCTTCCAAATTATTTTAATTGTTTATATATTATTTAGAAGATACTAAAATTAAAATTTTTTTTATCAAATTTCTCAATCTAAACAAAATCTTATTTGTTTTCGTATACAAGAGCAAAGAAAGCAAATTCTTTTAGTCATTTTAATACCCAAAAATTTGATGATGTAAGGTGACAAATTCTTGCTTATTAAAATTATTTTGAACGAAAAATGATGCTCTAATTTCATGCACGAGGTTTAATTAATATACTCCTAATCTTTTTTTGTGAACAAATGTATTTTAAAACTCTACTACCCTTAAATATTTTAAAATATTTTTCAAAAATATTCTAAAATATACTCTAAAAGTTCCGCTACAATAAAATTTTTTAAAAATATCCTAAAAAATAGCTAATGCAAATGGGGCTAGCAAATAAAAAAATCGCAAAATCTTGGCTAAAGTTGTAGTACAAGAAATTTGCCAATAATGGGCCGGGAGGGAAGGCTCGAAGGAAGATTCCGTCAAAGGCTGTCAGCATGTGGATTGGGCCTAACTTTGCCGCCTTCGACATCGGTGCTTAATGACGAGATTCACAAGGCCGCATCCGACATGGGCATGCTCGAGTCAGCACAGATCGTCATTCTTCCCGCTAAGGCAGGCTTTGGAATTTAATTAGTAATCTTCAAAATTTTGAATTTGGTTTTTCGTATTTGTCTGGATTGACATTTTTTTCCTCAAATATTTTTTTTTTATATTTTTGGCGAACACATGTAGCATTTACCTTTTGAATTCACATATATCAAATCGTTATAATGCATTTTTCTATCAAAATTCTGAAAAGTAGCATTCCAAAAGGACACAAGACTTGTTTGGAAAGTTATTTTCCTCCAAAAAAATTTCTACGTTTTTCATAAACACATTTTTCAATCATTTTTTTATCTTACATATGTTAAATTGCAACAGTACATTTTTTTACAAAAGACTCAAAAAAAAAAAATCAATACAAACGGGAAATTAGCATGAATGTTGAATTTTCGTCTAATTCAAGCATATCATCTTGTGTAGTTGGAAATTCACCCGTGTGAGTGGTAGTATTAAACTAGGCCCCAGCAGGTGGCTCGGTGGTGACCTCATTGGATCCCTACCCAAATGTCATCATTTCGACTCCCGCTTGTTACCGTATAGTACATTCTTGTGACAGGCTCTGCACTAACACAAGAACCTAGTTTGACGTAAATCAGGATATCCTTGCGCGTCCGCAACAGATCTTCTGTGTCATTCTCTGTCCCACTTTTTATTATATTGCTATTTCTCCTTCATAAACATCATGTTTTAGTTCTTTTTTTGTTTGCTTATGATTCAATAACTATTAATTCAGTAAAAAATAAATACAACAGTTTAAAAAAAGTAATATATAATAGAAAATTAAAAAATACAGCAGAAAATGCATAAAAGATCTCATTTTTTATGCATTTTGATTTTTTGAGTTTGTTAAATTTTGTGTATTACTGAATTAATAGTTATTGGATCTTAAGGAAATAAAAAGAACTAAAACATGATATTTATGAAGGAGAAATAGCAATATAGTAAAAAGTGGGACAAAGAATGGCACAGAGTGTGGGACAGAAGATCCGTTGCGCCTTGCGTCAACTAGGAAAAAAAAAAAAAAAAGGAGTAGCAGCAGTATTAAATTGTTTGCATGTCCAACCACAAAAGATTCAAGATTAAAAGCATTCTCAAGTCTCAACTAAGGTTCGGGCTTTGGGCACCACCAACAATGTCGAAGGCGAATGAGAGAAAAGCTAGGTTTAAGGTGATGAGTAAAGTCAAGATCTGCAAGCTGCACAATTATGGGAGGGAGGGAAATTCTATGAAATGCTGCTTCCTAGTAGTACTACTAAGTACGGACTACACCAGCCTAGGGTGCTTAGAATCCGCAGAACATCAACCCATTGCAAGTACTCCACTGCTCTATTTTCAAATTCAAATCCTTTTACCCTTGAACACAAACGACAATTATTTGTCCATGCACCACAAAATAATTCGTAATTTCATGCTAGTAAATCGCTCAAAAGCTTTCTTCACATGAATCAAGAACTTCAGGTTGTCGCATTATTGTTTCTTTTGATAACTCGTAGTAGTACCAATTCCCACATTTTCTACAAGATGATGCCTAAGGCCTTATTTGGATTGATTGTTTCCGTCGAAAAATATTATCGTTTTTCGTGATCACATTTCCCTATCACCTTTTTCCCTCACATATATCAAAATCACCTTTTTCCCTCACATATATCAAATCACTACAGTAATTTTTCCATGAAAAATGACGAAAAATATAATCCAAACACAACCTAAATATTTTGCTGAATTGCACCACCACTACCTAGAGGTTTTAAGGTTCTGTCAGCATACATCTAGAGATTCTGGACAAGCAAGAATTGACCAATAAGTGGTTGTTGGATAGATTCTTTCCCTAATGCAGCTATTTGCAGAACAACTTTATATATATATCACCAAGAGAAATACAACCCTTGTTTCTTTTTGTCACTGAGAACCCTTCATTGTCCATCACCATAGATATTTTACCATAATAATAATAATGTATACTGCCAATGTTGGCAAGGGTACTACCAAACATGTGCATTCATTCATTCTGCCAAAGTGCCTAAGGTCCACAATGCATTATTGCTGCTGCTGCACACAAGAATGCAGTGCCCTTAAGCCTCCTTCGGTCCTTGGGTAGTACCAGCCAATGATCACAACAGCCGGTCCGCTCCAGAAGTACAATTACCATCCCTAGATCGGGGGACCAGTGGTCCCAAAACCCAGGACCAAATCTACCTCCATACGCAAAAGAAAAAAAAAAAAAAGGTTTCTATACACATCAAAAGAGCGGGATATCATACTACACGGTTTTAACTGCTGCCAGTAAAAAGCCTGCCTATCTTTTTGAGTCTACCAAAGTACTACTGCAATAATTGGTCCTCTGATATGGATACTACTACTCCTGCTACTTTATACAAAACTTTCAGGATCTTGATTCCATCTACCTTGCGGAAAATATATGCTTATTTTTTCCATGCACTTGGAATACTGACTTCTTTTTTTGTCCACAGAACTAATTTCCCTCGCTATTTTGAGATATCACCTCTCCAAATTTAAGAAATAGTTGAGCATCAGAAGTGCTCATGGATGAACAGTTTACCAATTGGGGAGTCTTGAGATTTGCATATTCATCCATGTAGCATGGTACTTTAGCCGATGGAAGTAGATTAGCTGTTGGGTTGGTTGTCAACATTTTTGGTGTCGATGATGGCATTAAGCTCCCCAGGACTCGAGCCACCTCGTGCATGGTAGGCCTTTCTGATGGCTGTCTCCTGCTGCACAGTAACGCAAGCTGAAAAACCTTC